AGACATTTCTGTATGCTCCAGGATCATGATAGCACAGTATTGTACGAACCTAGTTGCCTTCATTGGCTCTGCTGCATGATTACTGCAGTCTTTTTCCCTAACTCCCTTTGAGTTGGCCAGGTAATTCTGGCAAGCTGGTAGACTCATACATGTCCGGCAAGGTGGCACAATTAAAAGAACAAATTGCAACACTTGAGAAACGAGAAGAACGGTAAGCTGTGTCATCTGTGGAATGATAATAATATAGTATTTAGAGGTGCAATTTTAGCATCTCAAATTCCAGCTTCTGATGTAATCGTTTGGTTCATTCTTGCAGATACAAAACAGTATTTGCGGATAGAATCTCAGTTTTTAGGAGGGCATGCTGTGAACTTTTCGGATACAAGGTATGGATTATAAGTTCCACATCTGAAATTGGTGTATTTCGATGGTGCTCCATTTACACCAGTTCCTCTCAAAACTTTTTCGATTTTAACTGAAGTTATACCTCAATTAGCTTCTTTGTTGTTGAATCTTATTTATGGGAGTTCTGCAAGATTTATGCTTTTGCTGTTTTTTATTTAATTTGGCAGATCGTGATGGATGAACGCCAGCGTCCTAATGGAATCCCTGTTACTCGGTTTACCCTTCAGTCCATATATGCAATGAATGATGATGAGAAGCTTGAATTTGAATATGAATCTGGGAATACAAACATTGTGGTGAGCATTGAAAGCTTTGTGCCGTCTTCTAGTTTATTTCCCCGTAGTCCTGAAATAGGTGATGTACACAGCACACATGTTGCTTTATAGAAGCTTATGCTGTCATTTTTCTTGCCTCAGGAAAACGGCTACACCTCAACCTCAGAAATTTCTCAGCAGGTATGGATCACAAGACGCCTCCCCATCTTCTTCATCTGCGACCGTTTTACTGGGCTGTCTCTGTGTAATGTTATCAGTCATGTGATTGCAACTTGCAAGAACTAATGAATCTGCAATTCGTCCATTGCATGCTCTGACATTTCACCTTTTGACCCCTGAGTTTTGAACATCCTTTTTTATGGTTACATTCGCAGGTCGACATATTCGTACGCAAGATGAATTCCATCCCAGCTTTCACGGCCAACTTAACAGTGGAATCTTTCAACAGACGAACTCTGTCCTAGCACGACTGACAAGTACCTAGATGGCACCTAAAAGTTTTCCGCGCCTCTTTTGTAACAAGGTTCAGAATTTCTTTCACTGTGTGGTGTGGTAATTTTACTGCCCTGCTCGGAGGCCGAGATACGTGTCGGTATTTGGTTTGAGGTTGTAATATGTACAAAATATTGAAAAAACCCCAGCAGAACAGGAGGCTATTAGTCCGTTTCAACAAGATTCAAGTTCTATCCTGGAAGATACGTGCATTTTTTTGGACTCTAAAATTTGATTTTGCGGCTGTGTTGTTATGCACTAAACTTTGACTTGGAATCGCAATCTCAATTATCCAAATCCACAAAGCAAAACTTCATACAAATCATGTCCGAGCATGAATTCATCATAATAATGCGCGCAACCATCTCCATGTTGCTGCTTTCAATGGCTACCAGTGACCATGAGACAAGTCTCTGTCTTTGCTTTAGACTGGTTAACGTCACGATGGGGTACTCCGAACCCCACAACCAAAGAGCATTAAGGTCACAAACTGTTCAAGCACAAGAAAAAACCCAACTTTGAAAATATCGGCAGCAAGGAAAATGACTGATCTTGCTGAAAACCAAAAGGCCAAAGCTTTCTAAAGTTCAGTGAACCCATAGGGTAGTGGGCAGGACGCATATGGCCATCTGAATTCACATCAAACAAGAATCTCAGTTAAGTACAAGCTTCCCACTACTGATAATAAAAAAGTACAAGCTTCCCACCAGTCTGTTCATACGCAGAATATCAAAGAGTATTGGCTCAGAGTATAATAGACAAGAGGTAAGCAAAACAAACTAAAGACAGCAACCAACCACTCTCTAATCGTTGGTTTCTGCAGATCCACCCTTGAGATGCAAATGCTTCTCCCTCCTCTGGAAATCTGTCAAACCTTTTCCGCTCCCGGTAACACCGACTTTACCATGTGGATCATCTGGAGACTTGAATATGCTTTCTCGTTTTCGGCCAGAGAAGAAACCAACCTGGGGAAAAAAACAGAGTTCCATAACTCAGACGACCCTCATTATCAGCCAGCCACATATTTTTAATCAAAGTACCACCATGTTTTAGCAAACAGTGAATAACAGTATAAATATACCAAATTGGTTATGGAAAATTGAACAAAATGGAATGGAATTACCTTCTTAGTTTTCCCTTTAGTTGTCTGGAACTGCTGCCATGCATTCTGGCGCTTATTCTGTGCAACTTCAAGCTGCTCAACCCTCATCTTGGACTTGAATGCATGTATCTTCTTCCGCTTTGTAACTTTGACATCCTCAGGGTCCTCAGGCTGTATGCGAAGCTTTGCTGGTAAAGTGCGTGCCTGGAAATCAGATGAAGCAGCCTGTGCAATCTTCCTTTTGATGGCCTGTTTCGTAGCTTCAGCTACTCTTTCAGCCTCAACCAGAGCATTGGTTTCAACTGGTCTAACATTATCGGGGTCCACCTGGCAAATCACCCAACAGTCAATAATTACCTCACTCCATTAGTTCCCAATGACAGTGTTACTTTAAATTCAGAAGCACAGTGAAGTAGTGAAAACGCACCTCTTCCTTATTGCCCCATTCATCATAGGCGACAAAATAGCCGTTCGGGGTGATTGCCTCGACCGTCGCATCATACCTGCACAATTAACTAATCAAACACAAAAGAAAAAGACGGTAAAGCAAATGCAACAAGAAAGGTTCTTGATTGGTCAAATCATTTGCGCATGGCCCTATACATACCATTCTCCATCCTCACTCCAGACAGCCTGAACTCTAGAGCCCACAGGAAACTTTCCATACTGATCAGAGTTGTCTGCTAATTCCTGATATAGAAAAGGAGCAAATTAACTATGTAGTCATTCTAAGATACCTGGCTTAGGGAAACCACACCTCTGGGGAGCTAATAACATAAAAATTAAATAGTGCTACATGATTTGACCAACCTTAGATTGACCAAATGTCGGAGACACACTACTTCTGGTACCAATGCTTGATCCAATGACCTCACTCTGCTTTGCAGTTGCAAGGAGTTCTTCAGTTAAAGCAATGACCTGCAATGCCCAGAGTGTTAGTTAATCCCCTGAGACCCAAAGCAGGAACACCACCACTGTTAATCGTAAATTGTAGTTTCTGTTAACAGACACAGAATCCCAAGATCTCTAACATGTGGCGTAGAGAAGCAGGCCTGCCCTTCACAAGACATCTAGCACACCTGCAAATTGGATCAAGATAGGAGTGATGGGCATTTTGTCAAATTTCTCGATCTCTAATATATATTCACGTTCTGGAAAACTCTTCATTATACAAGAAAACGCCCTCACCTTTACTCAAACATTATACAATATCAAAACTTCATGGAAGAATTAGCAGCTAATTAATGTTGCTTGATGAACAACATTTTCCTTCAAGTGAGACGAGGAAGAGATAAAACCAATATAGAAAATAAGTTTCATGAAAGAACCTAGCTGCTCAAATTCCACCATCTACCCGGGTACAGTTACAGTGTATGAAGCTTATTCTAGGGGATCTTGCCAGTTGCCACTATGAAAGTAGCCAGTATTCGGTCAGGAAAACTTATCAAACGCTGATTAGAAGCCGTAGCCAAACACCACCATTTTAATCCCCTAAAATTATCCAACACTATGAAAAAGAAACAACTTGAATCGCAATTATGTCAGCAGATCACCTCGCCAAGTTCCTTCTCCATGTCCTCATATTCGGAGTTGTCGGGATCATCAGCCAAAAGTTGTCGAACCTAACATAAGCACAAAAACAATACATGAGTCAAACTGCATATACACAACACTGAAAGATCTTACTCTATAAGCGAAGAGACAACTTTATACTTGAGTACACATATTTTGCAATGATATTGAAAATAGCATAGTATTATCATAATTAACCAATGCAACACACCCTTTTAGATGCAGGTTTCAATGATGACAGTAAAACAGTTAAGTCGTCAACTAAGCAGCTGTAAGAGGCGTTAATCATACCCAGGATGCAAAAGAGAGCTAGCATTCTTCAACAATGAATGACCCTAACGACAGCCCCCACAAACATTGGGGGGGAAAGAGAGAACCAGATGAATCCAAACAAATGTCCCGAAATTCAGCTTCACCCTATTGCCAATTAACACCCGAAATCACAAACAGCCCCGACAAAGAAACCCTAATTCGGCGAACCCAATTCACAAAATTCGAAATAGGTCATCCAAAGACGCTAGTTTTACGACGAACATGAAGAGGAAACAGAAAGGGAGTGAGTTTACGCTATCAAGTTGTTCTCTGTATGTAGAGAGATTGGACGTGAGCTCCTCTATGCTAAGTTCTTCGTTCTCCCCCTCCATCCTGCCCCTCTGTGATCTTCCGTTCCTTCCACCAAACTGATCCTACTTGAGGGTTTTAGAATTCTAGGGTATGGAACTAAGATTCCCCACCTTTTTCTTCCCTTTGAGAGATTCTGATATTTTGAAGTGAGACACACACCACGACGAGATAGGGAAATGACGAATGACGACGAACAACGCAAAGAAAGCATTAGTTCCGACGCGAAATTGACATTCATATACCCGGGATTCCTCCTTCAGCTTTCTGGAAAAGGAAAAAGGGTTGAATTACTATTTGGTACCTGATGTTTTTCTGTCTTAACAAATTGGTACATTATCAAAATCAAATTGGAGTGTAAAACTGTAGCGGTCGATAGGAAAAACTTCATACCGGAACCTATATCGGTAGATTGTTTTAACGGTATGAAATATATGATCAATTTCGTCTAAACCACGATTTCAGCACAAAATAACTTAATATTGAATTTTTCTACACAACCAATATAAAATCCTTGATAGTAGGTAGTTCACCGTTATTGGTTAACCAATATCAAATCATTAATAAATAGGTACCTTATCACAAGAGAAACATAAAAATAGGTACAACATACAAGAATGACATAATAAAGGTAATAATTCAACCTTGAAATCTTGAAATGAATTAAAATTGTTATTTTTAAATACAAGAAGCGAGCTTGTAGCATAATTCGTAAACAAACTCGTGCCTCTACATAGAACATGTTGTGTGTTTAAATTTCCGATTTATCATATATTATCTATACATATAATTGTATGACAATCGAGAAAACAATGAGTGAGCTTTAGCCTATGGCAAAATATCATTATATCACCTCGTGACGATGAGATTGATACCTTTTCTATAAGCATGCATAAAACCTTATTATCTTTTCACCAAACTTACACATGTTCGTAACTAAATCCTAACATATGAGTCTAGATCCTCACGTAATACAGAGATATTGAGAATACAACGAGTGATCTGATTGGATGTACAAGTGGGAGGGAGACCATAAATCGTGGGAAATACAATGAAAAATGGCAAATAGGAGGAAAACGTGACATGCTAAGTGGGTCAATGAACATAGAACATGGTCCATCACATTGATTCGAAGCTGGTGCAGAGATCAACATGACCTTAATATCCATCCCTTTAGAAAAACTATTTCAATGGCTGTAGGGTTGGTACCTTGTATTAAACGTAACCGGCCTTGAGAGCAAATGCTGCCTGCTTCTTTTATGTTATCTCCCACTACTACCGTCGCTACCGACCATCCTTAATTTAATTTTATTTAATTTTTGTAGACATTCCTATAGTTGATCTGTGGGAGTTGTAGCGCCAGGCAACATCCAGGCGTTAATCATCCAAACCCGATAGACTAATCAACTTCCACTCATCAAAATAAAAATAAAAATCAGTTCTTTTGGGGAAAACTGTTTCCATGGCCTCAATTTGATGCCAGAAAGGCAAGGAGGCAAGGAAGGAAAGGAACAAAAACAGAGGAAAAGAAAAGAAAGGGAAAGAGAGAGAAGCAGCAAATAGAGACACCGGGAGACGGAGAGGCCAGAGAGAGAGAGAGAAAGAAAGAGAGTTGCGTCACGCACTCACGTTCCTTTGGTTTGTTTGACCTGGTACACATCTAGAGACCACGGGCGCTTTATTTTATCTAAGATCTGTGAATGCCTCATTGTTAACTCTCGAGGATCAGGAGAGCGAGAGAGAGAGAGAGAGCGATTGGGTTGGGAGTTGGAGGTGGAGGAGGAAGAGTTGATGGTTCGAGGTAGAACCCACTGTCTGATTTGTGGGAAAGTTTCCATTTTTGTGTACAAATTGAAATTCTTCGCTGTCGGATTGATTGTTCTGTCTGGGTGGTACAATGGATAAGCACCGTAAAAGGGAATGAATTATTCTGGGGAGGGAAAGGTTGAGTTATATTGAGGGAGAGGGGGAAACTGGAGGTAGACAGCAGAATTGAGTCTGTTCTTTTTCTTTTTCTTCTTCTTCTTCTTCTTGTGTGTGTGGGGAGAAAGGGTTGAAGAAGATGGAAGATCATGCAGAGGACAATGATATAGAGATAGAGGGAGGAGGGATCGGAGATGACAAGGAATTCGGGTTAATGAAAGAGCCACTCCTTCTCAGGAACAGGCAGAACAATACTTCCCAGATTGCCATTGTTGGTGCCAATGTTTGCCCCATTGAAAGCCTGGATTATGAGTAAGCAGATTCCTCTTTCCCCACCCCAAGTTTGTAATTATGGTTTCTCTGTGATCAGATTTCAATTGCAGTGATTGTGTGGATTAGTGGTTGATCTTTGGCCATTTTGTTCAAAGGTTGTTTTGATTTTTTTTGGATTTTCATGTGGTTGATCACATGGGTTAAGTGAGATGCACTTTTGCCTTTTTTATCCATTTCTCTGCACTAACGTCAGCTGCATCACTTATTACAAGTTGTACTTGATTTGGCTGTGACGAGGTGTTGAAACTTGATGGTGGCCACCTTTTGGTGTGTGCTTTCTGTTATTATACTAAGATGAATGTGGAGATTCATCCAGATTTTTGTGGGATTGATCTTGCTTTTCTGACTTCTGCTGCGGCAGGATTGTTGAGAATGAATTGTTTAAGCAAGACTGGAGGACTAGAAAGAAGAATGAGATAGTTCAATATGTTGTCCTTAAGTGGACACTTGCCCTTCTGATTGGATTTAGCACTGGGGTTGTTGGCTTTTTCAACAACCTTGCAGTTGAGAACATCGCTGGTTTTAAGCTTATGTGGACGAACAGTCTTATGCTTCAGAACAAGTAAGTCCTTTTTATCTTCTGTTCCTGCATTGCCTCAGTTAATGCCGCAATCGCACATTAGATATGACCTTTTTGAGACTATGATGATTTTCATGTAACTGTAAAGTAATTGTTATTCCAGTACAGTTATTACCTGGCATTCGGAGCATTTGCTGGTTGCAATGCGGTTTTGGCTGTCGCCGCTGCTGCCCTCTGTGCGTACGGAGCCCCTGCTGCAGCAGGTTCTGGCATACCCGAAGTTAAAGCATACCTTAATGGTGTAGATGCTCCTTCTATTTTGGCCCCAAGCACTCTCTTTGTGAAGGTTGAACTTTTCCCTTTCTAAAATTGGCCTGAAACGTCATTCGAATCTTTTGCTCTTTGACACTCTTGTGCTCATCTAACGAACGAGTGGTTTAAAATTTGGACCCTTATTCTGCCCTGGTAATTGGCAGATTTTTGGGTCCATCTTTGGAGTTGCTGCAGGGTTGGTCGTGGGAAAGGAGGGACCCATGGTGCACACTGGAGCGTGCATAGCTGCCTTTCTTGGACAAGGTGGTTCAAGGAAGTATCACTTGACATGGAGATGGCTAAGGCACTTCAAGAACGATAGGGACCGACGAGATTTAGTGACTTGTGGTGCTGCAGCTGGTGTGGCAGCTGCTTTTCGAGCTCCTGTTGGTGGTGTCCTATTTGCTCTTGAAGAAGCTGCTTCATGGTAACATATCTCTCATTCTCTTTACACCCTTGCCACTTCCATTTCTTTTCTAAATTGGGGTTAAAGTGATGATAGCTCGGTTTGTCTATGTATTTTTCTTTTGGATAAACTTCTGTAATTTCCACATAAGCGGTTATCTGAGTTTCAAAGTCATGAATATTATCAATATCAGTAGTAAGAAAACAAAAGAACTAAAAGTTTGAATCTTGAAGAACAAATTTGAATGCTTTGACAACATGTATGGTGCCGCTTAATGGTTCTCAATTTCCTTTGGCCGTTTGGTCTGCTTTTTGCAAGCAAGTAGCATATGCAGTGTTGAAATAAAATAGCGACTTCCGGATTGTCTGTTGATCCCTTGTTTTACTCTTCTGTTGGTTTATCTTCAGGTGGAGGAGTGCTCTACTTTGGAGAACTTTTTTTACAACGGCTGTTGTTGCAGTGGTGTTGAGAGGTTTCATGGACTTCTGCAAGTCTGGAAAGTGTGGGCTATTTGGGGAAGGCGGTCTTATCATGTTTGATGTCAATTCGTCGGTTGCCAGTTATGGCACCCCAGATCTATTGGCAATCATCTTCCTTGGTGTGCTTGGGGGACTTCTGGGAAGCTTTTACAATTATCTAGTGGACAAGGTCCTTCGCACTTATAGCATCATTAATGAGTATGTTTAAAGGATCCATTCTTATTCATCTTTATAAATCTTTGGTGAAGTGTTAGTCAGCACAATAATATACCAATTGTTTTCTCACCTTGGACTTGTGTGTGTATGATTCTTACAGGAAGGGACCAATATTCAAGGTCCTACTTGTGCTGTGCATCTCCCTTCTGACCTCGTGTTTCTCTTATGGTCTCCCATGGCTCTCATCATGCACTCCCTGCCCTCCCCACCTTATGGAGGAGTGTCCCACTGCAGGTCGGTCCGGTAATTACAAGAATTTCCAGTGCCCATCACACCAATACAATGATCTCGCCTCTCTTTTCTTCAACACCAACGACGACGCCATCAAAAATTTACTCAGCCCAGGGGTCTCTAAACAGTTTCACATCCCGACACTCCTTGTTTTCTTTAGCGCCATATTCTTCCTCGGCATAATCACATATGGCATTGCAGTCCCTTCCGGTCTCTTCATTCCTGTCATTCTCGCTGGGGCATCGTATGGCCGCCTCGTTGGTCGCTTGCTCGGTTCTCTCTCTCAGCTTGATGCAGGTCTCTTTGCTCTCCTTGGTGCTGCATCCTTCCTTGGTGGCACGATGAGAATGACAGTCTCACTCTGTGTCATTCTTCTTGAACTCACCAATGACTTGTTGATGCTTCCATTGATGATGCTTGTTCTCCTCATTTCCAAAACTGTGGCTGATTGTTTCAACAAGGGCGTTTACGACCAAATTGTGAAGATGAAAGGACTGCCATACATGGAAGCTCATGCCGAGCCATACATGAGGCAGTTGGTTGCAGGAGACGTTGTTTCAGGCCCATTATTCACTTTTGCCGGGGTTGAAAAAGTGGGGAACATTTGGCATGCATTGAAGGTAACCAGGCACAATGCGTTCCCAGTGATCGATGAGCCACCTTACACGGATGCACCCGAGCTGTGTGGGCTTGTGCTCAGGTCTCATCTCCTTGTTTTGCTTAAGGGGAAGAAGTTCACGAAGCAGAAGGTGATGACGGGTTCAGAAATCATGAGGAGATTCAAGGCGCATGATTTTGCTAAAGCTGGGTCAGGGAAAGGGGTGCAGCTAGAGGAATTGGATATCTCTGACGAGGAAATGGAGATGTTTGTTGACCTTCATCCCATCACAAACACTTCCCCTTATACTGTCGTCGAGACCATGTCATTAGCGAAAGCAGCCGTTCTGTTCCGTGAACTTGGTCTTCGACACTTGCTGGTTGTGCCAAAGACACCTGGGGTAAGCCCCTCTGTTTTTACTTTCTTCTACTCACCTTGTTTGTAACTGATCATAGCATTTGAACAACTCTAATGGTTTCTGTTTATGTTGCAGAGGCCTCCCATTGTTGGGATACTGACAAGGCACGATTTCGTCCCAGAGCATATCTTGGGGCTCTACCCCCATATCAATCCTCACAAGTAGGAGCCAAGGGGGGAGGAGAGGAAGGAAGAAAGCAGGCAAGCAAAAACTTCTTAGCTATACCCAATATACCTTTTGCAGCCTTCAACGGCACTGTAAAAGATTTTGTTTGTAAAAGCCAGGGGTGGCATTGTGAATTTTTTGATGCTATGATTAGTCTTGGGGTATGAATAAGAGATTGGTTACAAATTAAAGAGAGGAGGTCAAATATGACCTCCTCTTATACAAGAGGGGTGTAGATTCTTGCAAAACATTGCTTCAGAGACCAAAGTTTCTTTAGTTTGATCTCTTTTTTCTTCTGTTTCTTGTGTATTATGTCAGGAAACCATCCTTGTTATGGATTTTTTCGGGTTAAACATTTTTACAGTATTGGGTGTGTTTATTCAATTCTTCCCTAACTTTTAGGAAATGAAAGTGTAGTGTCTGTTCGTTAAGGTACTAAGGTTGGATTACAAGGACTGCAAACGACGATAATGAATGTGCGACATCGATGTGGTACAGTGGTGAAATCGATGGTGATTTCAGAAGGATCCTTGCAGCAGGGTCGATTGTGGAATGGCTAGTAGAGCTGACAGAGATCATTTGATTGTGGAATGGCTAGTAGAGCTGACAGAGATCATTTGATTGTGGAATGGCTAGTAGATATTGTGGTCGACCATTCTATCTCTTGCTAGGAATGATTTCTACAGAGGATCAGTGGTGAAGGAGTTTAGAGGATGATTGTCCAAAGAGGATTCGGCAAAAATAATGCAATGACGAAACAATAGAAGCTATATTGACCCAAAAATCGACAGGGGATCAAGCAAAAGAATTACACTTTCAAGTTTCAACAACGAACAGAGAGGAAATCAAATCCTCAGGAAACCCAATATCAAAGGGGGAGCTGCTAACAACATAATTTCAAGGAAAAAGCAAGAACACTGCGAAACAAAATGACATCAAATCTATCTAGGAAGTACTGCAGCAAGGTTTCTTTGTGTTCCCTTCGGACCCTCCACCCACATCGATCGTCTGCCCTTCCTTCACACTAACTGCCGCCGCCCCTTCCCCCGATGACAGCGACTTCTTGCTTATGATGCGGTAGATCTCCGACAGTATCGTCTGGAAAGCCTTCTCGACATTCACTGCCTCGAGCGCTGACGTTTCGATGAAAGACAGCCCTTCTTTCTCCGAGTAGCCTTGTGCATCCTCGGCCGCAACTGCTCTCAGGTGCTTCAGGTCCGTCTTGTTCCCGATCAGCATGATCACGATGTTGGCATCGGCGTGGTCCCTCAACTCCTTGAGCCACCGGCTGACATTTTCAAATGTGATTGGTTTCGTGACGTCGTATACCAGTAGAGCTCCAAGTGCACCCCTGTAGTAGGCACTGGTTATGGCTCTGTACCTTTCCTGCCCTGCTGTGTCCCATATCTGAGCTTTCACCACCCTTCCCTCCACCTAAACCAAGAAAGGACCAAAAGTTCACAACTTTATTTCAAAACAAGAAATGGGGGAGACTATGGACTAGCTAGACTTCTTAGTTCTTACATACTCCGCCATTCTTCATCACAGGAGACAAACAAATCCCAGATGGCAAGCGACAATTATGAACATTTCCAACACAAAGTTTCAAACTTTGGCAAGAGATTATAGTACAAGACCAAGCTTTGACACTCTTCACCCAACAGCTGAGAAGATCTATTGCTCTCTATTAGGACAGAGTTAGTTTTGAACACATTTTGCCATACTACTTCAGCGAGACTGGGATCACTGGCTACAGAGTAAACAAATTCAACTAGTCTAACAATGATTCAACTACAGGAATCAGATCCAGTGCATGACCAGTGGATTTGGAATGGTGGGTGAAATTCAGATTTCAAACTCAAGACCGAATAGATCCTCAAATCAACAGAATTCAACTCCAAGTCAAAAACCAAACTAAAACAGAACAAATCTCCAGGCCAGAGCATAGCTAAACTCGAAATTCTCTAAGGCAGTGGTCCAGATCAAAGCAGGTAAAGTCCGAATTCGAAGCAGAGCAAGAGATCAATCAAGCGGCAAAAGACGAAATAGCAGAGCAAGAAAAGAGGGGTTTTGCAGAGAGAGAGATGAGTGGGGAAAAGGGTAGTTACTTGGAGAGTGCGAGTGGCGAACTCGACGCCAATGGTGGACTTGGATTCCAAGCAGAACTCGTTGCGAGTGAAGCGGGAGAGAAGGTTGGATTTGCCGACGCCGGAATCCCCGATTAGAACAATTTTGAAGAGGTAATCGTATTCCTCGTCCATCCGCCTCGTCATCTCCTCCTTATTTCTGCAGCCGGGCTGTGCGGGTCTACGGTGCTTTTGCTGCTTTCACACCGAGGACTTGGGGAGCAGCAGCAGCAGCGGCAGAAGAAGAAAAGGGAAGATTTGGGCAAGCAAGAACAGAGCAATGAAAGAATATTTGACGACAGTACAGAGCAAGCATTAACATAGGGCAAGTTGGGGGTTACGACTTGCGAGAAATATCAAACATGCCCTTCGCTCTCTCGCTCGGCTGTCGCATAATGATGACAGCACGGCAGAGCCTGTGCTTGACAAATTATATTTCCATTTTCCCCCCAAAAGATTCATCTCTCTCGTGAAACTGTGAAAGGGAGATACAAAGGGTCATGTTTAGAAGGTAAACAAGTAAAAAATGGGTCGAAGCCCGGACCCGTTTTATATCATCGGCCAAACATGATCCAGTCCATGGCAGGTTCTTGTATCTTAAGTCTGTACCGACTTTCCAGTTGGGTTGGTCCTTCTGAAAGTTTTATCAAGATTAACTTCGATGTCGTTGTTCATGACCCGGGTTGCTCGTCAGGTCTAATAACTTGAGAATCGGATGGGCAATTCTTTTTGGCCTTGGGTTTTCTCCATCCAAGAGTTTCGAATCCCTATCTTGTAGAACTGCTGGCCGCCAGGGACGCCATCTCTTTAGTGCATTCACGCAGTATTCCCCTCGCCATCATCAAAGGTGATTCAGAAGTAGTTATCCGGCATCTTGACGGTAGATGCTGTGAAGACTCGGTGGGAGGGCCCTTCGCGATTGTATTCAGTTGTTGAGATCCTGTTCTTCTTGTATTCACTTTTAGCTCGGTCCCGAGGACTGTCAACTGGGTTGCCCATAAAGTGGTAAGACGAGCCCTGCTGCTGTCCCCTGTAGAGACAGCGTCCTTTGATTTTGTAAGGTGGATTCACTAATTGTTTTTTTGGGTATTGGGTAGAGAATTTAACTATTGTACTTTGATATTACTTGGAGAAAAAAAAATCTGTACCGGCCTCCATGGCAGTTTTAGTCTTTTAGATACTTGAATTTAATCGACCTTTTTAATTTTTACCAAACAAAAGAAAAATGAAAAAGACCTAAAAAGAGTTGAGATAGGTAAGTAGTGCTTCTCGGTTATGTCATGTGAAGCCCGACCTCTAGACAGAAGAGACGACTCTGCCCTTCTCCCCCTCTCCTCGATTCTCTGTTTCTAGCTTTTACCCTTTGCTTTCAGAAGAGGAAACTCCTTCAACCTTCCGAAGAACTCCCGCACTCCTGCATCGAAACCCATCTTCAATCATGGGCAGCGAATAGTAAGCCCCGTTTCTCCCTTGTCTCCTCTCCTTCTTCTTTCTCCCTTGTACTTCGATTCTCTGTTTGCTTCTTGTCAATTGACTTTTATCTGGTTGTATTTTACTGTTTTGGGTTTGCAGCGACTACCTCTTCAAGCTTCTGCTAATCGGGGACTCCTCTGTTGGGAAATCCTGCCTGCTCCTTCGATTCGCTGTAATTTTGACTCTCTTTGACCTCCCTCCTCTCTTCCTTTATGTATTTGCTTGATGCTTCTTCCTTTCGTTACTGGTGGTTTGGTTTCTCCATGGTGTTGGGTAAAACTGAACCGGGATGCTAGGCTTCGGTTATTCTTGAGGAATGCGGATGTGGGTTTTATGTTTTGCAGTATAAAGTTAGTTTCTTTAATGGTTTGGCTGTTAGTTGAGAGGATCAATAGCTTCCAATTTGACTACTCTATCGTGGGTTCTGTTTCTTGTCTACTTTCAGGATGATTCGTATGTGGATAGCTACATCAGTACTATTGGGGTCGATTTCGTGAGTCCCCCCGAAACCTTCTCCCTTTCACTGAAATGAAATGGGCACCACACTGAACTTTTGTTTGTATGTTGCCTTTTGGTTACACCAAATTGCGAAAGGAATAAGACTTGGAATGTTGATTGTCTTTTGTAGAAAATCAGAACTGTGGAGCAGGATGGAAAGACAATCAAGCTGCAGATTGTGAGTACACTGATGACCTGTTTTCACTTGACAATTTGATTTCAGTTCGTTTTCCTAGTGTATTCTTTCTGTCGGGTCCTTTGTCTTTGAATCTGATGAACTTTTGAGGTGAATTTTGATCTTCGAGAGTCTGTAGCCAATTTAGGGACAGTAAAGCAGTTTTTTTTTGTGCTGCCGCATGTTGCATTGTATTTTGTCAAAGGAAGTTGCTAATTTAAGGCATGCATAGATGTTTGGATGTACAAAGTGCTCTCTGGTTTTTGCTCTTATATTACGAAAATTATGTTCATATTATGCAGTTTTGGTGGATGTGGTGTATACCATGATTTCACACTGTCGCAGAAGCTTATACGTCTTCTGGTTTTTGTCTTTCTAGTGGGATACTGCTGGTCAGGAGCGCTTCCGAACTATAACAAGCAGTTACTACCGAGGGGCACATGGGATAATTGTGAGAAACTCTGATGGCTGTGTGTCTGTAGAACTTTATGATTGTTATTTTGCCATGAGATGACCCTTTGGGATGATTGGATTTCCATTTCAACAGATTGTTTATGATGTCACTGAGATGGAGAGCTTCAACAATGTTAAACAGTGGTTGAGCGAGATTGACAGATATGCAAATGACAGTGTCTGCAAGCTTTTGGTTGGGAACAAATGTGATCTAGTTGACAACAAAGTTGTAGATACGCAAACAGGACAGGTGCACTCAATAATTAATTCTATATCCTCTATCTTCTTATTCTTCATGTTCATTTCTTATGTGGCAGGGAGTTATTTTGTTATTTTCTTTCTTGGTTTCTTGGACTTAGGCTGCTAATATTTCGTGATTTCAGAAATGTACCCTGCTTTGAGACTCTTCCATTTGCCTCACTCAAATCTCACTGAACTACATTAGAAGACTGATAATTTGTTGCAGCTACTAAATGAGAATTTGTATTCTGTCCTTCCATTGTGTTAGAAATAAATCCATTTCCAGCAGCCGAAGGGTTTTTTTTCTGGTGCAGTTTTCTTAACTCGGTGATTTACCACTACTGCAGGCGCTCGCAGATGAGCTAGGCATCCCTTTTCTCGAGACCAGTGCTAAAGATTCAATAAATGTGGAGCAAGCTTTCTTGACAATGGCTGCAGAAATTAAGAAGAAGTAAAACTCTTTACCTCATTCTCTTTGCTCTTTATCTCAGCTTAGAGCTGAATGCTAATCGTATTTTGTGAATAGTAAAGCTCTATATAGTAATTGCAAATACGTATTGCTGTTGACTTAATCATACTGCCAACATCTGTATCAAGAATAACTAGCCATGATACACTACCTGCCATGCATTGGTGGCTGGCTGCTAGGAACCCTGATCCAATCAGCCATTGTTTAGCTTTTGTACTTCACTCATGTTTGGTCACTAGTATTCATGCAGCAGTAACCTATGATGATAGACATAACTTCCTTTTTGCTGCCGAAATAGATGATTGTTGTTCTTATTCATTCCCTTCAAATTTCTTATGGCTTTTTGAAAGTGTCAATTCCATAATGTATAAACTTCTCATCTGCCATCTCATAACTTTGTGCAGAATGGGTAACCAGCCGACTGCTAGCAAGGCAACCGGAACGGTTCAGATGAAAGGACAGCCAATCCAGGAAAAGAGCAACTGCTGTGGTTGAGCGAGTCGTGCTATTTTGCTGTTCTAGCGGAGGACTGTTGGACGATGGAACATGTGTTTATATCGTGCTTAGAACAAACTGTTGATCTGTTATGTTTCTACCTGTCTAACTTAATGAAGCTCGAAACTGTTATCGTAGATTCAGTTCAAGGATCTTTCTTGTTATTATAGTGGCAGAACTGACCTAATGCAATCTATAATGTATTGTCCTGACTCTCAAATCACATGCAATCCGAGTTCACCAATGATTTGGTGGCCCTGACCCGATCGATCCATAATCCGAGATTGACCCTTTAGTTGGTTAATAGAACAGTGTGATTGGCGTGTAGACGATCAACTTGTAATCAGATGCGCTCTCGAGACCATGACAAATTGCCCAAATCCAAGTTATATAAAGATCACAATGGGATATTGTCGACGTCCATCTGCAACCAGTTGAATTAAAAGTGGCCACTCCATGGAAAAAATTAAAAGTGGCTCAGCCACCTCGTAGACAGAAGATGAACTAGCACGAAGAAATTCAGGTGTGAAATGGGCTTCATCTCATGTCGGCGCGCGCGAGTGGAGGTGGAGGTGGAGCGATGCACTATTATGCACAGAATATCTCTTTTAATTAGTGGCTAATACGTCCATTTGTTGCACCAATTAGGAGTTGGTCTCGTCCAGAAGCTCACAATATATAACAAAGGGATAATAATACCCTAATCTTAATTCTGAAAAGATGATGATTATTATCCGAAGTTTCAAATATGATGATAGTGGTGCCTGTGTTTTTAAATTAACCGGAAATATGACCTAAATCTTGCAATGACGATTATTCAGTTTTCGTGTTACCAACTTAGTTAGGACGTGTTTGCATAACTGTTACATCACGCACTTGTTTGAAGCATGTAGAACCTTGATTATTAGGTTTTTTCTAATTAATAGGGTGGCTGATTGGGCGTATGAAGGTCCAACCTAGAAAGAAAAAAAAAGGGTTATAGACCAAGATCAAAACAAAAACAAAAAGCCAAACATATATAAGGTTCATACACCGTAATTTCTAGTCGACGACAACCAATGTAGTCAGAAGCACGTTGCTACGTAGAATAGTTTTGGTGATCTAGAAGCGTTAAAATCGTAAGTTCTTAAGGGTTAAAACGCGTTTTTAACTACCTTAGTTATAAAACTTGATTTTTTACGTAGAACTGTTTTGGTGACCGAGTAACTTAAAAGCACAATTTTTTAAGTTTTAAAATGCGATGTTGACTACATTGACGACAACAGATCAGAGCGTTGACTTGATTAAATGCAGTCCTTTGATCTGTAGTTAGGTTTTTAGGTATCCTACTACTACTGATACTGAATCACTGTGTGTAGACATTGGAGGACAGCAAATGAGCACCACTCCCCGCATATCTATCTTCTTCACTAGTGGTGGAGCAGAGTTAGTACTATACTACACTGATCACTGTTATGTTGCACTCTGAGTCTGCACTTTTTTCCCAAGTCTAGCGTGGAGGCACACAGGGCCCTCCTCCCATCCTCTCATGGTGGATCATGGTGGGCTCTCTTCTTGTCCTTTTCTCCATTTGCCTCAACCACTCCCGCCCAATAGCGAACGCGGTTTTAAGTTTAACGCATCGACTTCTGATGACAATTTGAACTCGTCTCGTAGGTTTTTATTCGATCTGATCTATAATGAAACGAATATCACCCGACGACTCATAGTAGCGTGGGAGTCAGCTCCGTCACGCCCCGTTCTTAATCTAGTACATATCAATTTCTTACAATATCTATTCATCCCCTATCTTGACCTTGTTTCAATTGTAAATTAGTTAGGCACAATCATGCAAATGAGATCGTTGTCGTATCGCTGATTTTCAACCTACATGTTCTAGATTCCAATCCTAGAGACGACGCTTCTTTCGATCGACCTGCCCCATCCCACCCCATACTCACAGGGATATTACATGCCCCGTACCCACACAGATACGAGTATTGACTATTGAAATACCGGCCCGCCTCATTGCCATCACCCTATAAATACCTCCACTACTCTCCCCGTTTATCCATACCCAAGCAGCTCTCACACCAACTTCGACAACCAAAACATTCCATATTATTCTTCGCTATGAAAACTGATCTCAAGCTCCTCGGAGCATTTTTCTTCCTGCTGGTGGGCTTGGGCATTGCCTCGGCGACCAGAGCCCTCTTCACTTTCGACGAATCCACGGTGGGACATTCCGCCGGCGGTTATGGAGCTGGCCACGGAGCAGGCGGAGGTTCTGGCTACGGCGGAGGTGTTAACGGGTATGGTGGAGGCGGGGGAGGCGGTTCTGGCGGCGGAGGAGGCGGTGGTGGAGGTGGCACCGGTGTGGAACATGGTGTTGGGGGAGTAGGAGGTGGCGCCGGTGGCGGTGAAGGTGGCGGGGCGGGATACGGAGGTGGAGATGCGGCGGGGCACGTAGGCGGAGGTGGAGGAGGGAACGGCGGCGGTGGAGGGGGTGGTGGGGGTGATCATGGTGGCGGGTACGGTGCCGGCGGTGGTGAGGGGGCTGGGAGCGGTTACGGTGGTGAACACGGCGGTAGGATTGGAGGTGGTGGCGGCGGCGGCGGAGGGGCGGGCGGCGGCGGTGGGGCGGGTGCTGGAGGTGCGGGTGGTGGGTATGGAGGAGGTGAGGGAGGTGGAGCCGGAGCCGGCGGCGGAGCTGCGGGAGGAGGAGGTGGTGGCGGGAAGGGAGGAGGCGGCGGCGGTGGTGGAGGGGCTAAAGGGGGAGGTGGTGGGTATGGTGGTGGAGAAGGTGCTGGCCACGGTGGTGGAGCTGGTGGAGGAGCGGCGGGTGGGTACGGTGGTGGTGGCGGAGGAGGAGCTGGTGGTGGTGGCGGAGGAGGGGCTCATGGAGGTGGATATGGAAGCGGTGGTGGTGAGGGAGGAGGGTATGGTGGTGGATCCGGAGCGGCGGGAGGTGGCGGCGGCGGTGGAGGGACTGGTGGTGGCGGCGGCGGCGGTTATGCTCCATAAAGTGTTTGTTTAATTATATGTGAGCCATCTTAATGTGAAGATGGTTAAGTGAAATGATGAATGGGTTGGTTTTACGTCTTATGATATGCATGCATGCCGAAAATGTAATTTGGCAAATAATAAGATTTGTTATATATATGGAATATATGTCAAGAAAATGTGTGATGAGGATCAAGCATTATGGTAATTATATATGTGAAGATATGATTATTGTAAGATTAAGCGTTAATGCTTCTTCTTGTTATTGACGTTATTTGGACATGAAATCTATCGAGTGCACTATATAAAAATTGAAGTTAACTTGTCGATCAATGTATATGATCAACAATCAATACTTTAGTTAAGGTATCACTATATGAATATCGAGTTTTTATGGTGTATAATTAAGTGAACGGCTATTTGTCGCCAACCAAAAAAAAAATTTTGAATTCAAATTTTGAATTTTCCCTCCCTTCCCTTCCCTTCATTCTATAAATTCGGATACCCATGAACATTTGACTCATTCCAACAAAAACTTCTGTTGACGAGCCCAGTGCCTCCGTCGCCGGCACCGTTCTTCCGTCGTCGGCTAACCTCCCGTCGCCCTCAATCGTCGGAAAACAAGTAAGTTTATTTTTTCCGGCCAGTTTTCCAGTTTTCCGGCAAGTTTTCCAGTTTCCCGGCAAGTTTTCCAGTTTTCCGGCGAAAAACAGGGCGGGTCGAAAAAAAACTGCGGCCTAAACGCCGCCGAGCCGAAAAAAAATTTCGGCCGGTGCGACGGCCGGCCGAAAAATTCTTTCGGCCCGGCGACGCCGCGGCCGAAATTTTTTTTCGGCCGGCCGCCGACCTCGCCTCCCAAAAAATTTCCGGCGGCGTGTTCTTCGGCCGGCCGAAAAAAATTTGCGGCCGGTGCGTCGTCGGGCCGAAAGAAATTTTCGGCCGGCCGTCGCACCGGCCGAAAAAGTTTTTCGGCCCGACGACGCACCGGCCGCAAATTTTTTTCAGCCGGCCGCAAACTGTTTTCGGCCCGGCGGCGCACCGGCTGCAAAATTCTTTCGGCCCGGCCAGTTTTTGTATTTAATTTAATTTAATACGATAATTAATTAATAAATAAATACTTAATTAGTTAGTAGAAATTAGCAATTAGTGTTAATATTTATTTAAGTTGGTGTATAAATGTTTTTTTTTGTAATAGGCGTTTGAATGTTTAATTACTTAGATTAGTTAATGGAATTTTAATTAATTAAGAATTGATTTAACAATTAATGTTAATATTCAGTACATTAGTTAATAGAAAATTAATTAATTTGTGATTAATTAACAATTAATTTTAATAGTACATTAGTTAATAGAAATTTAATTAATTTGTGATTAATTAACAATTAATGTTAATATTACATTAGTTAATAGAAATTTAATTAATTTGTGATTAATTAACAATTGATGTTAATATTACATTAGTTAATAGAAAATTAATTAATTAGTGCGCATCTAAGTATGATATTTTGTAAATTTGTAGATAATTAGATATGGATGATGCGGGTGATGCGGGTGGGGATGAGTTGTATAGATTCAATGGTAGGATTGTTGATGCATCAGCACGAAGGAAGAATAAGGAGAATAAGCGCTCTCGAGATATTGGACATCAGTCACAGGCAAATTTAGGGGAGGATGAGTTAGAGGCTCCAAATGTAGTTGCTCGTTCGGCATCACGGGCGTCTGGTTCCCATGGGAGGAACCAGGGTGCTGCATCCAGAGTGGTCTCGGCTGAGTTTGATGAGGACGATAGTGATGAGGATATCGAGGTCCCTCCACTTACGCGTGGACATGGACGAGTGCCGTCTCGTACGACAACATCACGTCCTGCTATGTATAGGGACCGAGCTGGGCGATTCGTACCACCTGCTCGTCAGGAGACAGAGAGCTCGGGGACTGGACGGAGTAGGGGAGGACGTTCGAGTGGTCCTCCACCGTGGGAGCTTGTTGGTGAGTGTCCTGGTGGACCTACGGATCCTAGCCTCATTAGGAGCTTTCGTGGCCACGTTGCCTATGCGCTTTGGACGGGGGCTGGAGATCGAGGAGTCATCAGTTGCTACAGCCGTACATCGGCGGTTGCTTATTTGAGTAGCTACGTGTGTAGTCATGTTGAGGCGGAGAATCTGGTTCAGCAGTCAGGTCTCCAGCACCTGATGTACTCTATGTTCCGCAAGATAGCGATTGACGATGCTTTGATCTCAGCTTTTGTGGAGAGGTGGCAGCCAGACACGAACACCTTCCACTTGCCTTTTGGAGAGATGACGATCCTCCTCCACGATGTTCAATACTTACTGCAGATTCCTGTTGAGGGACGACTGATGAGTAGGAGTTCTGCGCAGCTTGACCATCCGGAGGCGGGTTTGTGTGCGCTTCTTGGGATGAACTCGGAGCAGTTGAGTGGTCGTTCGGAGGTCCCTGGATATAGTAATAGGGGTAAGTGGTACGAGAAGGGTGGTTTTCTTGCAGAGATGGCGTCCAGATACTTGCAGAGCCACGGGACACATGTGACAGAGGCGCAGTCGTACTTGTTGTTGTTGTTGGGGTCCACTTTGTTTGTGGACAAGAGTAGAGACAGGGTTCGGTCGGTGGTGAACCTATTTTTGGACGAGTTGGAGGAGTTAGATCAGTATAGTTGGGCGTCAGGTACACTTGCTTGGTTGTACAGATACCTTGGTCAGGCGTCTCGTGCTGGTTCCAGGGGGATGGCTGGTTGTCTCACACTTCTGCAGTGTTGGATCTACGAGTACTTTCCGGGTTTCAGGCCATCTCACTTCGAGCCTGCCGCCGTTGGACCTGATGATGCTTGGGCTTCACGATGGATTGGGCAGCCGGCACCTGGTTCTGTGGCTGATCCCAGTGTGAGGTTGGCGTTCTACCGTCGAGCTCTTGACAGCTTGACCCCTTCTGATGTGTTTTGGACACCTTTCCATCAGAGGCCTCATCAGGCAGTGCGTCGCTCTTTGTACACTGGAGTCATCCGGTTCGCTGACATAGGCGAGTTCTATGATCCAGCCCGTTGTGGTTCTTCGCAAAACAAGTGTCGATCGCACCTCTACCAGACACAAGGAAAGTCTTGAATGAAGAGTGAGATGACTCAACTCTATTCGAGCTCGTGTTACCAAGATGAAACACATGGTTCGTGTAGCACATTGCCCACATTGTCTGATGAGGCAACCACTCACCTCGCACGTAGTCGACCATTTTTTTGTTCTTCACTGTCCAGACCCTCTCAAACTCATTAATCTTTTGAAGAAAACCCTCCTGAGTCCAACTCCATGCAGCTTTGTCGAAATATTTCTTCCATACCGCATGTGCTACCTCTCTTTTTGCAATTCCACCAAGTAACACTTCAAACTTTTGCTTCACACAGTTGTTGACGTGCCATAAACATAGTAGGTGGACAGTATGTGGGAGAGGGAAGACCACAGGAATAGAAGCAAGCAAACCACCTTCTTTGTCTGTCACAATGACATTCGGAACCGTATCACCGAGCAACCCTTTAATACATCGCAGCAGCCACTCATATGTTTCCTTTGTTTCCTGCTTAATAATTGCACATGCAATGTTGAAATTCTTCTTCACTGGAGTAACCCCAATAATCTCAACCCATGGCCAGCCGTACCTGTTGGTCTTGTAGGTCGAGTCAATGAGGATGACGTACGGCCATGCATGCAACATCTGAATGGACGTCGGGTGCGCAAAAAACAGATTAGTGAGCACATTATTAGAGTCCTTTTGCAAACAGATATGGTACCCACGATGTTCAGCTCCGTGAAGCGCAAACTGTATCGCATCCATTTCACCCATCTCATCCAATCTTGTCTTGGAATTTATGTTGTACATCTGTTTGATATCATGATGCACACCCCCTTCAGTATTGAGTGTCGTCTTCTGCTGATTTGGTCTCTCCCCCGCCTTCCTCATTAATCTTAACCTCTCTTTTTCAGCCTCACTAAACTGTTTGTTGTGTCGGTGATGTTCTGGATACAACACCTTTTCATGGTTGTGAAACCCTCTATTAGCTCCGGTTTCACGACTTGTCACTCCCACCATGACCCATGTGTTTGGACCATCCTTTTGCCATACTTCCTTTATACATATCTGAAACTGGCAACCAGTACCCTTCGAACTAATATTCCCACGCGTCTCCTTCGTAGGGTCTGGTTTATAAGACTTAACGATCCTACTACTTCTGTCGCAATACATACAGAGGGCAGTAACAGGATTCTGTCCAGCAGTATTCGGTTTCCATGCTCCTCTAACAATAAAGAACCCACACTGCTGAGCGATTGTTCTTGCAGCTAACTCAGCTAACTCCACACTTGCATAATGGATCCCATTCTCAAATTCCTGTGTGTAATCATGATCGGCCGGTAACAACTCTGACATTTTTCCTACAATTACAATATAATATATCAATATTCCTGTGAACCTAAACGCTAATTTCAATTCTTAACCGCTAAATTCAACTCCTAAACTCTAAATTCAATTCTTACACGCTAAATTCAACTCCTAAACTCTAAATTCAACTCCTAAAATCGAATTTTTCCGAAAAATTGCAAAAACAGACTGTGGGCCGAAAATTTCCGGCGGCCGGAACCTGGCCGGGCCGAAAATTTCCGGTGGCTGGAACCTGGCCGGGCCGAAAATATCTTGCGGCTCAGCCTGGTTCCGGCCGCCGGAATTTTTCGGCCCAGCCAGGTTCCGGCCACCAGAAATTTTCGGCCCGGCCAGGTTCCGGCCGCCGGAAATTTTCGGCCCACCGTCTGTTCGTTTCAAATCGTCGGAAAAATTGTTCGAAACTACAAAAAAATTACGCACCTGCTTAGTGATGATTCATTGATGCGTGTACGCAGTATATGTCGAGGATAGGCTTTCCCGATGATTTTCCGGCGACTTTTCCGGCGAGCGTTGAATTTTTCTGATTCAATATGTTCTCTGAAAGTTGGATATGTTGTAGATTGTGAAACTCCTTACCCTAATATGTATATATATACTTTTTTTTTTTTTTGGTTGGCGGCAAATAGCAAGCCCCATAATTAATGACCATTCAAAATCTATTTCCAAAGATATTTTCATATTCATATGATCATATCAAGAATCAATTTTAAAAATTGTATATGGATGCATAATACATTACATGTTCATCTTTATTTATTTTTTTGTCTTTCGTACATGAGGTACATTCAAATCATTATAAATCAAATTAGGATTAATAGGGGTAAGAATAGGTTGATTCATTGCATAATTTTACCTAATTGTCATGACTTATATAGCTATTGATCAGAGCTATATGGACTCAAACACACTCTTAATATATCGTTTTAAGTTGGTGTTTCCACATTCGATATTTGTTATCGAACACAGAAAAAGCAAAAAGTTCATCAAAATTTGATATTTGTTTTCTTTTAGATACCCACTATCAAAAGTCTAATTTAGACATAAATTAAAAAATTCACAAGAATTTATCCCGAAAGAGATAATGCGCAAATTAACTTGACTCATAATGAATTGAGTTCAAGATAAAACCCAAAATTTGAGTTTTATTTATTTCTTTGTAATTTAGGGTCAAAGGATTGGCTTGGCCGTACTATGACCTTTTCTCATTGATAACTTTTTGGATAGTTTTATGCTAAAAAATGATCAACACACTTTCCACAGTCATACAAATCCCCCTGTCATCGGAAGCTGACATCCTCCATTCATTCCGGCATAAGTCTCTGTTCTATCAACAAATCAGATTCAATATCACAGCACCTTAACAACGCCATGGTTAACGTTTAACATAACCATTTGAGCATAACGACGTGTGCTAACTCGTATGCTATAATAAGGACATGCAGATTGAGCAAAATTTTGACATGCTGCAGTCTCTTTTTCAGCCATGCATGATCACTGGAAATCGTTCATCCTCATCATCAGCAGCACCTCCCATTAACGAGCTCGATACAACTGCGATCCGTCGTCGTCGCCCCCGCCGCCGCCATCTTCACCATCATCGCCTGCTTGGAAGTTCTTGTTCTTCCCCGATCTCGCTTTCCTTACTGCATGCTGGATTCGCCTCTCGTGTTCTTTCAGCATCTCCTCGATGTTGCCTCCTGCTGTCATCAATGGCCCCGAGTAATGCATCCTGCCCTTCTTCCCGTAAAACCCCTTCAAGTACAAAACCAAACAACAATCAACCAATCAGTTGAACTCAATGGCGGTGTGGAGAATTGTATATGAGGATGGATTTGGGAAGTTTACCCGAGCAGAATCCACGGAAGAGCGTTCGCCCTTGTGGCCGAACTTGGATTCGCCGAGGATCGGGTGTGCAGATGCATCCTCCAAGTTGTGGCGACCGAAACGGAGCTGCTGCCAGTGGGAGCTGCTGCCACCACCGCCGTAACCCGGGTACTGTGATGATGATGAACTGGCATTGTTGTCTCTAATCACTACCGAGTTTGAGAACCTCGATAGCTTGGCTGCTGCAGAGGAAGACGTTTGGTTGGAGTTCCTTCCACCACCAACTCCCTGATCACCGCCTTGGGAGGAAAGGTTTAGATCACGAGAGGTCGCGTTATTCCTTGTTGCGGACATTGTATTGGAATCAGCTTCATCATCACAATCATCCTCCTTATTGTTCTTCGACCTTTCGTTGTTGTCCTTGGTTGCTTTCTCCTTCCGATCCCGCTCTTTTCTCCTCTGCACTCAGCTCACAAATTACAGTTCGTTATGACCAGAACCAACAAACCCATGTAACCAAAGAAACCAAGATGGGGAATGAGTAATTGTGTACCTTTGCAGAGATATGCACGTCTATATTACTGTTAGTAGCTGCCATGACTTTAGCTCCTCTGGTAAATATCCTTTCTGATTCCCTTCCTTTGCCTTTGCCTCCTGCTGCTCTTTTCCTGTGTTCCCCAAATTGAGAGCATCATGAGCAAATGGAAAAACAGAGTCTCAAAGAACAGAGAAGGAATATGCAGGGAATGCTTCTGATGATTCATTCATTGAATGGAATTCGTATCCTTTATATAAAGGCATCACTACAGCTGAATAGAGAGAAAAAAAACTAGCAGCACGATTCTACACGGTTTCTAGCCTAACTAATAAAGTAACATTCTAACGGGCATTTCATCAAACAGGTTGTGGGCGTAACTAAAATGCCACTGAAGAAGGAGAAGAAACCTTTTATTGTCATCTTCCCGGAGCTTGACATCGAATTCCTTGCTTGGAGGGTACTTCGGCAGGCTGGACGGCTCGCAGGGAAGAGGTTCCGTCGTGAAGAACTAATCAACAACAACAGAGTTATAACTCTTTCAGCAAATCACGATACAGCAAAAATTCACCAGTTTATTCAACCTCTTGTTCCAGCTGCACTTTAATTACCTCACTAGCAAGAGCCGAAGCAGTAGTCCCGCGATTCTCCGGCTCAACAGAGAGAAGCACCTCCACAAGCCCTAACGCCGACGAGGGAAGCAATTCCCCAAACGTCTCCCCGATCCGCCGCTTGTACGGCTGCTGCGGCTTGAACGTGGTGCTGTGCCGCAGCTTCGACGTCTTCCAGTACTCCTCGCTGGGGGAACCGCAGAGCTTGAAGATCTTGTGGATCTGCTCCACCTCCGTCCTCCCCGGCATAATCGGCTTCCCGTTGAAGAGCTCGGCCAAAATGCACCCCGAGCTCCACAAATCGACCTCCACGCCGTAGTCCGTGGATCCCAGCAGGAGCTCCGGCGGCCTGTACCAGAGCGTCACCACCCGGCTCGTCAGCGGCTGAGGCTTGTTGTTGTCGCTGTTGCTGGTCGGTTTGGCAGAAGGAGTGCAGAAAGTTGCGAGCCCGAAATCGGCGATCTTGAGAATCCCTTTCGAGTCGATCAGGAGATTGGCGCCCTTGATGTCGCGGTGCATGATTCCTCTGCTGTGGCAGTGCGCCAGCCCCGTGAGCAGCTGCTTCATGTAGCATTTTATCTGGGCATTGTGTTTCGTCACATTTTATTGGGTCTCATATGAAACATGACGAGAAAATTAAAATGAACTGATCGGATTAATCAATTACTTGCGATTCGGTGAACTGAGATCCCGAACTGGACAGAAGTCCGGTGAGGTCGTGGTCCATGTACTCGAAAACCAGGTACAGGCTGCCGGAAGTTCTGGAGGTGATAATCCCTTCGAGCTTCATGACGTTTGGATGGTCGAGCCTCCTGAGAATGATGATCTCCCTCGCCATGAACCTCACACTCTCCGGGTCCATGTTCGCGAACCGGACCTTCTTCAGCGCGACGATCTTCGTCGACTCCAGATCGCGCGCCTTGTATACGCTGCTGTACGTCCCCTGTCCAATCTACAACACGAAAAAATCCGAATTTCTTTTAAAACCTAGCAGCTAGTTAAACGAAATTTCATCTTACGAAATTTTACGTAACACCATTCTATAACAGCGCGAAACACCAAACCTTTTCGAGCTTCTCGAAGGAATCGAGCCGTCGTGGGATCCAACCATTGATGGCTTCCCCCGCGACGGCGGTGAGCCACGACGGCCACCCGGCGACGACCTGAGCAGCCTTCCCGCCGTGCGCCATGCTCGACACCCCGGCCGCCGCCGCCGACGACGACGACATCTTGTGGTGGAAATGGTGATTGGATCTGCTGCTGCCGCCCTTCTTTGTCTCTTCGTGATCGTTAGGGGTCAATGGGAAGATCCCTAGTCCGCCGGCTTCGCCGTCGAAGTTGCCGCCGCCGCCGCATTGCTCGATCACGGCGCACACGTTCTCGTAATCGTCGTCGTTGTCGACGTCTTGATCTCTCTTTGACCGCTTGGAGGATTTTTTGCTCTTCTCTTTGCTCTTGCCGCCGCTGTGGTTGTGGTTGCTGTCTACGTAATTTCCATTGTTTGGTTGCTGGCCACCTTTGGAGCAAATGCAGCCCATAACACCCACCCACACCTTCTTGATCCCCAGCAGTTTCAGCAGCCTTTTCTGGTTCGAATGAATCATGCATGCATGCATGGACCGGGTTTATGGCTCTCACGTCGTCGTCGAGCCTGTTGTTCGCGATGTTGCTGATGGTGGCGTGTCGCGTCGACGAATCAATCATATGTCGATTTTTATTACATCGCGCGCGTGCGTGCGTGCGTGCAGGGGAACTTGGAGAAATTCTTACGTTGTGTTTGAAGATCTCGAAGAAAATGGTGTGCTGACAGGAGTCCAGATCGATAGGAGAGAATCGATGATGATGATGAAGAAAGAAGTTAGGGTTGCATCTCTTTACACATTGTTTTCGAGCGATCTTGATATATTAAGATTTTCAACATGGATGCGTTGTCGATTTGCACCCCGACTCTGTGTAAGATCTAGGAATTAATGTCGAACAAACAGAAGAAATTGTTCTAAGATTACGAGAGGAGTTGGATTAGCTAGGGAGAAGGAAAGGGGGGAAAGAGAGAAATTTTTTTGGAAAGAAGGGTGAAAAGAAATAATTAGCTATGAGATTTTTCAGATGGTAAAAATGGCATTTATGAACATTGATCAAGTGGGAGTTTGGTTCAACAACTCAAAAGCGCCTTTGGTAGAAAGGAAGTTAAGCCAAATTTAACCTAAGGAATTTTTTTCCCCCTGAAAAATGAGAATTGTTGTGAAGTTTGAATATGTTTATTTGGTTCTGTCTACTTATTTTCGCTTTGGAATCTATTAACACATAAATATATGTTTCAACAAATATTTTGATTATATCGATATGAAAAATATACTATTGTAATAAAACCATATTATGATTGACATACATGTTTTAAAAATATCAATTCAGTATATCAAAACGGATATTGTTTTGAACACCTCAATTATTCTATTTCAGTGCAATTTTTTTTAAGTTCAAATTTTGAATGAGGAAAATGCAATTTTGTTTAATAAATTAGTAAATTTCAATCATTTAAATTAATCAAAATTCAAAGGACAATATTATAATAATTGCCTTTTAATTTCGTGTATAGAACAAGAGAACAAATATACATACGACGCCGTAACGAATATTCTCCGGACCTATCACGTCACGTGTAAGTAAAATAACAAGAATTATTTTTATAATATTGGGAGAAAAGTTTCAGTTTGGGTGAGAGTCCAAAAATCTACTTACTCTGACGCCGGCGGCCGCCACAGTTCACACTACCTCCGCCGCGATATACAGAGCAGACTCCTGAAGCCTACAACGAACAAGCAGGAAGATCGAATCCCAGCCAGTCCAGAAGCTGTTGAAGATGGCCGGCGCCGGCGGCGGGGAGCTCAAGTACGAGTTGGCTCAGAACGCCTACGTCAAGCTCGTCCTCCACGCCCTCAAGCACAAGACCTCCGCCGTCAACGGCGTCTTGCTCGGCCGCACTTCCCCTAAGAACGAAAACCTCGTTCAGATCGAAGATTCCGTCCCGCTCTTCCACAATCACCTCGGCCTCCTCCCTCCCCTCGAGATCTCCCTCATCATGGTATCTTCTTCTTCCTCGCCTCGCTTGCCCCTTTCCTCAATTTCTCCGCAACGCTTGATCTATAGCCATCTAGGGTTTGATTTTAATTGAATTGGGCCAACAATTGGATTCCTTCTTCCTTTCCCCCATTTGTTTGAGGGAAATCCCATGAATTGACCGGACTGATGCCGTCAAATAAGTCTTGTTGTGATTTTGGGGAGATTGATTTTGTGATTCTGTCCGCAGATAGAGGAGTACTATAGTACACGAGGTCTAGGAATTGTGGGGTATTTCCATGCGAATGAGAGATTCGATGACGCCGAGCTTGGTAACGTGTCGAAGAACATTGCTGATCACATCTCTCGCTATTTCCCACAGGCAGCTGTTCTTTTGGTGGGTCATCTGTATTCTTGTTTGATGTTTGATGTGGTTTTGTAAGTTTGGACTTTGGATTTCAGTCTGTGTGATTGACTTCCTCTTGGTTTCATCTGCAGCTAGATAACAAGAAGCTTGAAGCTTTACCAAAAGGGAAAGATCGCAGCCCTGTTGTGCAGGTTCGTTTCTTATGCTTCTATGGCTTTTTTAAGCTGTTGAGAGGGGATCGTATCTGTCCTGTAAAGCCAAATCAATTGGTGCTAAGTTACTGAAAAGTGAACAAAAGTGGAGGCTTTTAGCTACTATTCTGTGGTTAAGATATAATTATTGGATATGGAGTGTTTGCCCAGCTTGTGAGTAATAGAAGTCTCCTGCTGCCTGTAAGGTATCAGCTTATGGTGACTGAATGGTGGATCGCAGCCACACTATATTAGTATCCTTGGTGATATTCTAATTGAAATATGCCTGAGGCTTTGGATGTGAGGAACCTGCAACAAGATCTCTATCCTCGGGTAGAATCTAGCTTAGATTGGTAAAGTTTATTGAATAATGTGGTAAATCTGGCTTGGATACCAATGGAAAACATAGAACAGTCATGATTCAGTAAAATAGTGGGGGAGTTGTTCATCCTTATACTCTTGTGTAAGTTAAGATCATGAATACGCCAGTGCGATGCTAGCTGTTTTTTGCTTTTGGCTAGCTCTCTCTTTATGGTACGATTGTACATATAGTTGCTGGTTCTGAACCTTTACCCAAGGAACTAAATGGGTTGCTTTCCTTATTCCAGCTTTACACAAAGGATGCATACAAGAATTGGAAGCTGGTTGGAGCAGATGGAGGCATTCTCTTGACATTTAAGGAGCCAGCTGCAAATACGATCTTATTGGACTACATTTCTTCCGAGAAGTGGCAAGATGTGGTTGATTTTGATGATCACCTCGACGATGTTACCAAGTAAGCTTTTACATGCAAAATGGATGTCTAATTTTGTTGAGTTTAAGCTCGATAATCACCTCGATGGTCAATCTATATTGCAGGGACTGGTTGAACCCAGATCTCTTCAAGTAAAGCCAGCCTGAGTTGCTTGGATGTTCGGCTTGGCTATGCTTCGTTTTCACGTGATGGCAAGCTGGGTTGATCTTGATTTTCCATGTTTGCATCGTATCACAACTCGCATATATGCAGCAAGCTATTTTGCACGTCGGGAATCTTTGCCATGGGAAATTTTTGTACCCTGTGATTCATGGGAAGAAACATCCTTTCCATGGTTAACTTTACCAGACAAGTTCCTGATCGAGTGCCTTGTTTTCTGAACACTAGCTTTAATGTAACTGACAATGAGACCCCAAACTTTGTTAGTTCAAGTGATGAAGCAGTTCTATAAACCATTCTTTTGTTTCATGCAAATTCGATCTACGACTCTCGAGCATAATTTTCGATATTATTCGTCTCAAACAGCTCCATTCCCACCTTATCAGAACCTACGGCTCCCTCTCCGACCTCCCCTTAACCAAAGTTGCCTCTGTTTGCTCCCGCGACCGCTTCTTCCCCTACGCCCAAAAAATCTTTGCTCGCTTCGACAACCACGACACTCCCGTCTGGAATTCCTGCCTAAGAGCTCTAACAGAAGGTGATCAGCCCATCGATGCTGTCTCTCTGTTCGGATGTCTCGGCCAAAACTGTTTCTGTCAGGTAGAGGGCATCAGGACAAAGTTTTCCAGTCCTGTGTTTGCCGTGAAGACATCTTTTAGTTTTTTTGTAAGATGCATCTATCCAGGAGAATGCAGTGGTTCTATATAGTCCAGGATCGAACTGAATCAAAATAGAACCAGAATCGACATAAAGGGAAATTCATTACCGAATCGTATTAGAATACGTACGACTTGCTTTAGTTCGGTTCAATTCGATTTCAATATCAATTTATTTGGTTTAGTGTGATGGGTGTGGATAGCACAGCACAGGCATATGAAGCCCATGATGACAACAGTCGCTATAGGCCTGAAGCTCCAATGCATAATAGCTAAGCATGTTCTCCTTCACATTTACTACAGCTCTTTCTCCACAGAACATCCACTACGAAGCTGTAATCATTAATTCTTAGTGCCTACTCGAACCCAGGAGGCCAGGACCAGTTGGTCATGGAGTGTTCTACATCAGATGCTGTTAAGCATTCATTTTGAAGAAGAAAAAGTTGTCCAGTGCCAATTTCCTGGCCAACCCTAATTTTGCTTCCCTCCAATAGATGTTTGAGTGCTAACCAACCAAATCCCTTCTTGCCTTATTTTCCCACCACCTTCTTGTCTTGTCAGCATCTAATGACCTCTCCCAAGTCCCAACTACCCACCATTGAAATTTCACTCATCTTTGCTTTTTTCCCTTTAAAAAAAGTTCACTTATTTGTTATTTCCCAGCAAATAATCACTCACAAACAGTAAAACAACCCACCCAAAAGAGAAACAATTTCAGGGACACATCCAGAGCCAACCTACAGTCGACAGAGAGAGCTCTTTGCACAAAATGCTAAAGCTCCAAACTTTCCTCCAAATCCTGTCCCTCTCTCTCTTTCTCCTCCTACCCAGTTCCCCATTCTGCAATGGGTTCCCAGATTCGGTAGTTAAAAGCGGCGGCGGCGTTGTTGGCAGCGGCTTCTATGAAGAAGAGGCGGAAATGGAGTCGGAGATCAGCCGGAGGCTGATGCTAATGCAGAGGAAGTACATAAGCTACGCGACGCTGAAGAGGGACATGGTCCCTTGCGACAATCCAGGTGCTTCCTACTACGATTGTCACCCTCGTGCCGCCAATACCTACAATCGGGGTTGTGAAGTGATTACCAGGTGTAGAGGAATCAACGACGTTTCTGATTGATTTCTGTTTAAAGAGATGAAATGAAATCAAGTCACTTTGTTTTCCTCTCAAGCCCAGATTCAATGCATTTTTTCGGTTTCTGTCTTTTCTTCTCTGTATATTTTGAGGATCCTATATGAAGTGGAAGTGTGCAGATCTTGGGGTTTGTCCATATTTCTCTGTGTATGGAGTTGGATCTCAGGGGTTTGCTAATTTGGGATTGCAATTTCCTGGGTTCATGTTCATGTCAGCAGACAGCAGGCATATGTTTCTGCATTCTTGTGTATCAATTCAAAAGCATCAGCTCTTTCAAAAGGGTTTTGCCTGATGTAGTTTCACTAATCTTGAAGTGAAGCACTGAAAAGATTCCTCCTTTTTTATGGAGTCTCTGCCACCATTGAACTCCAGTCTCTAAGGTATGGGTTCAGGTATTCAGTGTTACCCAAAGTGGAACTGTGTTTTCTTAAAAGAAATTTCCTCTTTCAACTATCTAGTCTGGATTCTGCCATTCTGGACACGAAGTGCTGTTTTTGCCGCTTCGAGTGAGGGCATGCTTGGAAGTGAAAGTTGTATCGCCTTGGCCATAAAGGGTATCAGGCAATTTGAGTGGAGGATGGCTTGGAAAGTTCTTCCTCAGCATCTGCTGCCTAAGTTTGGCCAGAAAATGGATGTGCTGTGGAATTGGATATGAATGCCTCCATTAAAGTGGTGGGTTGCTTTTTGATTTCGACCTACAGAATCAAATCTGCTGCGATGAAAACCATGCTGTTCTGGCTCTCATCCCAGTTCCGGGAAACTCAGTATTAGCTTTCGGACCAACATAAAGCGATTGTGCTACATCAGCTGCGTAAGGTAGATCCAGTCTATATGATTTTGTCACGATTTTCTCATCGTTGAACTATTTTCGTAAACCTCTGCTCTTTTTTTTTCTTTTTTTTTTTGTAGAAAATAAACCTCTACTATACTGATCTCATTCTTGGATTAGTATTTGAGATTCCAAAGTTTAGCACAGCCCGCCAGGGTCTTGCACCTTTTTTGTAATGCAACCATTGTCAACCTTGGTTTTATATGAAACCATCTACAATCTTAGTTTGATAACATCCTAACATATACGATACCACTAGCCGCCAATCAAAGACATGCTAGTGAAGCTCAACAAATCTTCATTTTCTCTGTATCTTTTCCAAGTAAAAAATGATGATAAGCCGGCGCAGCACGCAGCAGCGGCAGAAAAATCCGAATTTGCAGAAACTGAAACCCAAAATCTATCCCACACAGCCACATTCCCCAAACCCAACAAACATTATTCATCAATCCCCGTTGTGGTCAAAAGACCAAACCCACATTTCTCTCCTCCAAAAACCCATTCAAGCCACATAACAGAACTCTAAAAAGGGGGGAAAAGAAGAACCTAACAGTCATTCATCCATGAACTTCTCCCCAACTCTCCACTTGGTGGTGTTGCTCAGTACCTGTAGTGAGCAGGCTTGTAAGGACCCTCAACCGGGATGCTGATGTAGTCAGACTGGTCCTTGGTCAGCTTGGTGAGCTTTGCTCCGAGCTTGCCAAGATGAAGAGCAGCAACCTTCTCATCAAGATGCTTGGGCAGAACGTAGACCTTCTTCTCGTACTTGCCGCTCGACCTCTCGTTCCAGAGCTCCAACTGTGCAATCACTTGGTTGGTGAACGAACAGGACATGACGAAGCTGGGGTGACCAGTTGCGCATCCGAGATTCATCAAACGCCCTTCAGCCAACACAATGACGCCGCTCTTGGTGTCGGGGAAGACCCACCTGTCAGTCTGTGGCTTGATGGTGATCCTCTTCACACCGGGAAAGGTCTCGAGACCGTGCATGTCAATCTCGTTGTCGAAGTGACCAATGTTGCAGACAATGGCGTTGTTCTTCATCTTCCTCATGTGGTCAACCATGATGATGTCCTTGTTGCCGGTGGTGGTGCAGAAGATGTCTGCCTCAGAGACAACATCCTCGAGGGTCAAGACCTGGAGACCTTCCATGAGAGCCTGAAGGGCGCAGATGGGATCGATCTCAGTCACGATCACACGAGCTCCAGCCTGCTTCATGGCAGCAGCACAGCCCTTTCCGACATCACCATAACCACAGATCACGGCTACCTTACCGGCGATCATGACATCGGTGGCCCTCATGAGACCATCGGGGAGGGAGTGACGACAACCGTACAAGTTGTCAAACTGTAAAAACATAGATGGAATCCAAACATTAGCCACAAACAATAACAGCAAAAATCAACCGGTAACATATCCAAACCATGAAAGTAAAGTAAACATGTAAATCACTAATAAGGGTAACGGATCTAACACTCATACAACCCCTAAATGTCATTCTAACAGCAACCAACCACCTAAAGCTCGATTCTTTATTCTCAATTCACGTACCAATTTAACTTATAAGCATATCAAAATATCAGATCTGAAAGACTGCAACCTCAACAAACTTAGGCAATCACAGATTCATTCCAGATCTACCACTCATGAACCGAACAAATAAGAATTGTAATGAATAGAGATTTACCTTGCTCTTGGTGACAGAGTCGTTGACATTGATGGCAGGGAACAGAAGGGTTCCGTTGGCCTGCATCTGGTACAGCCTCTTGACTCCGGTAGTGGTCTCCTCAGAAACACCAACCAGTCTCTCCTTCATCTTGTGGTACTTCTTGGGGTCGCCCTTCAACCCGTCCCTGATAATAGTGAGCACGATCTGGAACTCGGCATTATCAGTAGAAGCCGGATCGGGCATCTTCCCGGTCTTCTCGTACTCCTCCTCGGCTTTCACACCCTCGTGGATCAAGAGCGTGGCGTCGCCGCCATCGTCGACGATGAGATCGGGTCCGCCGCCGGGGCCCCAGTCGAGGGCCCTCTCGGTGCACCACCAGTACTCCTGGAGGGTCTCCCCCTTCCAGGCGAAGACGGCGGCGGAGTCGCGGGCGATGGCGGCGGCGGCGTGGTCCTGGGTGCTGAAGATGTTGCAGGAGCACCAGCGGACCTCGGCGCCGAGGGCGGTGAGGGTCTCGATGAGGACGGCGGTCTGGATTGTCATGTGGAGGGATCCGGTGATCCTCGCGCCCTTGAAGGGCTGCGAGGGGCCGAACTCGGTCCTGCAGGAGATGAGACCGGGCATCTCGACCTCGGCGAGCTCGAGCTCGAGGCGGCCGAAGTCGGCCTGGGACATGTCCTTGACCTTGTACTCACGGCCGGTGGTGGTTTTGTCGACGATGAGAGCCATGGCGTCGGCGGAATTGGGGATCTGAGAATTTTGGGGGGGGGAGAAGGGAGTGTGAGAGGGATAAGGGAGAGTGAAGGGGGAATGGTGGGATTTATAAAGAGGAAGCGGGAGATGAGATGGACGGCTAAGATTGGATCTGGTTTCGGGTGAGCGAAACGGTGTCGTTTAAGGGGTGGGAGGGAGATTTGGTGGGGTTGGTGGAAAAAGTAATCGCATGCGGCGGGAACGGAACGGGAGGATGGGCTGTAGGTCCCACTTGTCGCGGTGGTGATTGAATCGGACGGTGATCCTGTGGGGTATTGGTTCGAGGTTGACACGTGTCGCCTGATTGGTGGTCGTGTGGGAGGTTGGGGGAGAAGAAGACTTGGGTTTTTTCGAGGAATCAGATCTGGGCTTGTGAAATTGGTTTTTCTTTAATGTTATTTGCTCGTTTTTTTAGTTTGTAAATTTATATGGAATCTCCTCCAAAAAAAAAATCTCAAAAGTTAAAAATAAAAATTGTGGGATTAGCATTAGAGTTTCTGTTGTAATTTATAACAAACTAGATTTTCTGTTTTGGTTCATAATAGTTGTAGTAGGTTTTTATGGGTTTTCTTGTATGCCATAGAAAATTTCTGGTTAACATTGAGTTTTCGGTATACTTTATGAGTTTTCTGGTGTAGTTAGCTCCTAGTATGATTTATGAGATTTCTGATCTATGTAATTTTTTTTTGTTGTCTTTTTCTGGTATTTTTGATGATTATTGTAGTTCACACGCGTGTTGTTTTGATAATTTTTAAAAATGACAAGTGTGCCCTAAACCCGGGCTCGACTACGAATGCCGGAGCATTGAACTAATCATGCCGGTCTGTAACCGGTGGGCGACGTCGGCGGCCGTCGGGGGTCACATTGCAAATTGTGTAATTAACCAGACCGACACTGGAAACGTCTGTGGAGTCGAGTATTATTGACCGGTCGGGCCCGGCTATGTCCTGCAAACCGACACTTCTTAGAAAAATGCTTGTGAGAAATGAGGCGGCACGTCGTCGTCGATCGTCCGTCGGTGATCTGGAGAATGACAGCCACGAGACTGTGAGTGGTTAATTCCTCAATATCTTTGGGAATAATTGGCGATTGGAAATTTCCTGGTCTAATTGCAATGCGACCGACCAACCGAAGAAGCGGCATTGATTAGTGAATGAATGAATAGCATGTGCATTTGTTTGTTTGTTTGTTTTGTGGGGGTGGAGTGATGTGCACGTTATCACCATCACCGTCGGGTCAGCCTAAAAAAAAGGATCCAATTCCTTCCTAACGATCGAACTAGGGCTGGGAATCGGTGCGGTTTCGGTTAATCGCACCGAAATTTGCGGTTAACCGCAACCGAAATAGAGTTATACTCGCCAATCGCGATCGCGCACCGCAAACGGTTCAATGCGGTTAACCATGTGTACCAACCATTCTTATGGTTTGCGTACATTTTGGTCTATGGTTGTGCCACTATGTCACGGTTAACAGCAAGTAACCGAGTCACTGATTGATTAAAATGCGGTTACATGAATCATGTAAACTTATTCAAAATTCGCATCCTAACGTATCCTATGTTTTCACACAATTTTACCAAACAACTAATCAGTTTTTATCTATGGTTAGTTTCATAAGCTCATCTCACAATCCAGCCGGTGACTCATTATTACATTACCAATGAAATTAATATTTTGCCTATAATATTTCTAATAAAAGGGGAGTGGAATTTTTTTTTTTTAATCACATTTGATAATGAGCTGCGGAGTCGTTGTTGACTGAATGATGACATAACAGCAGTGAAGAACAAACTCCTAATTAGACTTTAGATTAGATTGGATTAGGTCAGGGCGGGGTTGGTGCAGTGGTTGGTGAAATTTTTGGTGGAGTTCCAAACAACCAAGATGTCATTATCGCCCACTTACATGGAACAATCGGAGTAGATTGATCCGTTAAAATTACTCATCCAAAACGATGCCATTATTTTGGAAGCGAGAGAGCGGTTGGTATGGCATTTCATATTTGGTATATTGGAATGAAGTCTTTTGTAGTCTGCTAATGTTGAACCAACAAAAACCATACTAGTGGGAATTGGTGGGAAATTGTTAAAACACTAATAACATGCGTTCATACGTAGTTAGTTGGTGTTCAGCCTAATTACATGGGAGTCCTTCACCAACCCATCAGCCCCGACCCTTGTTGATTGATTTGATGCTGTGCATACGTTCGAGATTATCCGAAAATTTTACTAGAGTCAGAAAGTGTCTACCTGAAAATTGGAGTAATAATTTAACTGGTGTTTTAAGGAATTTTATCACTTGGGGTCAACCCTTAATCACTTAGGGGACATACATCGTTGAGTCAAGAATCGCCGATTGGTTTATAAGTCATTTGTGAAAAGTTGTATTCTTTTTAATTTGGTTCAACCATATATGAAAAAATTCCCCTCCAGCCATCATGGTTTAAAATTTAGAGTCAGGAACATTTATGCATGGAAGATAATTCTCTTAGCTTGTCATATGTTCCAATGTATCATTGAGTTAACATTGTCTAATTAGTGGCCACATATATAATCTACCTAATTTGTACTTTATACCATAAATTGTACCTATTAAGGTACATGTCATCAATAATAACGTAATTGGAGATAACTAGTGGTACAAAAGAAAGGGCAACTGTTTTTTTTTTTTTGAATTTATGATGAATTCGTTGAAATATAAATTTAAGAGAGTTCATTATTTACATAATTAATTTTCTTTCATGCATTAAAAGAGTTCATTATTTGCATAAATTTAAAAGAGTTCATTATATGTTAGATTTATAAATCTACGTGATCCATAAATTTGGATTTAAATTTACCCTTGACTTTCAATATTTGAAGCACAAAATTATTTAAATTCATTATACTTGATGATATTTAAGTGACAAAATACCCACTTGTTCCTTCACCAACTACCAATAATACTGGGATCCCACCATAGCTATGGTACACCCCCACCTACCCCCACCAAACTTGCCAAATAAATTAACACCAGAAATACCAAAAAAGTGCTTCTGCAGAAAATTACAGCCTTTTAATTATCGGAAAAAAGAGAATTATCGGTTTTTCTGCCGAAAAATAGAAACAAACAGAAAAAACAAAAACCAAAGGCCATAACCGTCATTTCACCATCATCACCTCCTCCATTTTAAGCCCCTCCAATTTTCCCGTCTGCATTTCCTCCTCAGTCCTCACCCCTCTGTTTCTTCTTCTCTCTCTGAATCTCACCAAGACGAAGAGAAAATGGATCCAGTGACAGTATGGGGAAACACTCCACTGAACCAGGTGGACCCAGAGATCCACGACCTCATCGAGAAGGAGAAGCGCCGCCAGTGCCGCGGGATCGAGCTCATCGCCTCCGAGAACTTCACCTCGTTCGCCGTCATCGAGGCCCTCGGCAGCGCCCTAACCAACAAGTACTCCGAAGGGATCCCCGGCAACCGATACTACGGCGGAAACGAGTACATCGACCAGATCGAGAACCTCTGCCGATCCCGCGCATTGGAGGCCTTCCACTGCGATCCGGCAAAGTGGGGTGTCAATGTGCAGCCGTACTCCGGCTCCCCTGCCAATTTCGCCGCATACACCGCCGTCCTCGAGCCCCATGACCGGATTATGGGTCTCGATTTGCCCTCCGGTGGGCACCTCACTCATGGGTATTACACCTCCGGCGGTAAGAAGATCTCCGCTACTTCAATTTACTTTGAGAGCTTGCCCTACAAGGTGAATTCCGAGACTGGGTACATCGATTACGATAAGCTGGAGGAGAAGGCTCTGGATTTCAGGCCCAAATTGATTATCTGTGGTGGCAGTGCCTACCCTAGGGATTGGGAGTATAAGAGGTTCAGGGAGGTTGCTGATAAGTGTGGCGCTCTTTTGCTCTGCGATATGGCTCACATTAGTGGCCTTGTTGCTGCTCAGGTATAAATGCCTCTTCTTCTGATTATTTTCTATCTTCCCTTTATGTTAAATTGGATCTGATTTGATATCGGGTTGTTGCTAATTGGGGGCATGCTTGCTGGATCTCAATTGTGCTCTCATTGCAGCAATGGATCTGTTTTGTATTTGTATTTTTTTTTTTTATCATTCATTCTGGATTTAGGATCTGGTTTAGGCCTATGATGGCTTGAATTCTATAATTCTACAATTAGAATTGTGGTGGCTGAAGTGTTTGTCTTTGGTAGTACAAGTAGTGTTGCTTTTGTGTTATATGCTCTAATAATTTGTCCAGATCTGTATGTTGTTTCCTTTCCACAACATTTCATTTTATATTATCAACTATTGATGTTTAATAATCAAAGTAAGATATCTTGGGCATGGTGGGTGGTTTGTAAATGTCTTGCAATGTTCTTTGCGTTCATGAAGTGAAGATCTTTGTTGGGATTAAACTAATAAGATATATGTTCTTCTCGTTGAATGCTGTACAGGAAGCGAATAACCCATTCGAGTACTGTGACATTGTGACGACCACAACCCACAAGAGTTTGAGGGGTCCTAGAGCTGGTATGATCTTCTACCGCAAGGGACCTAAGCCAGCAAAGAAGGGTCAGCCAGAAGGCGCGACCTATGATTTCGAGGACAAAATCAACTTCTCTGTGTTCCCTTCTCTTCAGGGAGGTCCTCACAATCACCAGATCGGTGCTCTTGCTGTTGCATTGAAGCAGGCCAACACCCCTGCATTCAAGGCCTATGCTAAACAAGTGAAGGCCAATGCAGTTGCTGTTGGTAACTATTTGATGAAGAAAGGGTACAAGATGGTCACTGGTGGAACTGAGAACCACCTTGTCTTGTGGGATCTCAGACCTCTTGGGTTGACTGGTACGCAAAGGGAACCGAGTCATGATTAATTTCTCCTCCATAAATGCTCAATTGTTATAGCCTATAGGGACATGGTCGTGACTCGTGACAATATGTTGTTGGGTGATTCATGCTTGTTTCGTCACTTGCAGGCAACAAGGTGGAGAAGCTCTGTGATCTCTGCAACATCACTGTGAACAAGAACGCCGTGTTTGGTGACAGTAGTGCTTTGGCCCCAGGAGGGGTGAGAATTGGTAAGAAGAATCAGTACAGCTCAAATTAACTTTGACTGAATCTGTAGTGGGTGGCAAAACCTTTTACTGACTTTGTTGGTTGGTTGTTATGTGGTAGGTGCACCGGCCATGACTTCAAGAGGGTTGCTAGAGAAGGACTTTGAGCAGATTGGAGAGTTCCTCCACCGTGCGGTGACCTTGACGCTGAGCATCCAGAAGGAATATGGAAAGCTGTTGAAGGACTTCAACAAGGGGTTGGTGGACAACAAGGAGATTGAGGCCTTGAAGGCTGATGTGGAGAAATTTGCAGGTTCCTTTGACATGCCTGGTTTCCTCATGTCCGAGATGAAGTACAAGGAGTAATTAGGGTTTGATGATACTGCATCCGATTTCTGTTACTGAAGTAGCAGCATTTACCCGATTTATGATCATCCCCCCACCAAAGAAAGGAAAAGAAGAGGTTTTCTTCTGTCTTTTGTTGTTTTTTTCTGGCTTTGTAGTAGTTAGGTTGGCCATTTCACAATATTTTGGTTGTTTGTTGAATGCTCTGCTGTTTCATGTAACCTTGCCCTCTTTTCCCCTTTGTTTCTATTACTTTGATTGTTGGTAAGATCAATAAAGCAAGCAGTCGATTTACAGATTTCAAGGTACTTCTTTGTTCTATGTTGGTTTTACGCCCTTAACTGACCAGATCTGGGTCGTGGAACTGGCCAGTTGAACCCTGTTTGACCGTGACCAGCCATCCTGCAGTTTCTACATGACCACGTTAGTTTCAACCGGATTTGGTCGAATCGTTAAATCCAACCAGTTGGTTTTAACAGTTTGGTCGAGTGCACTTTGTACCCCAGCTATTCACCTCAAATACGAGTCATTGTCAAGTTCACCGAAACTGTCTCGATCAATCGAATCGTGACCCACTTGTTTACCCGAGTCAACATTTGGAATTCAGTTTCATGGATGATCCATTCCATGTAACAAACGACATCTAATTAAATAGAATCCTTGATTTCGCCTACAATGGTTTTGACTGCGCTCAATTGGACCAAAGCTCTCAAAGGAAGTTGTCGAAAGTATGAAATGGATACCTACAAAACACTCTTATCAGCTCTTAACATTCTCATCACTCAGCATTGCCTTTCACCAAACACCATCTTCACACCGATATACAGCTTTAAATACAAATGAACGTAATAAACCCAAGCTCAATCGAAGATCTCTTGAGCTTCAATTATGCTGTGCTGGCTGCCATCAGAGAAACAAAAACACGAAAAGCGATCAGGACAACGAAAACATAGGATGAGGTTTTCAGTAAAAGGGAAGATAGAGGCTTCACTTACTGGTCATCCTTTGCGACTCTATAATATCGTTCAGCATGCTGCCGCTGCCCAATCAGATGAGCGAAACGTTCGTCATGAGTAATCACAATCAGCTGGAAGTTCTCCTGCCCCTTTCGATCGTCCATAATTCTGGATCAAGAAAATGCAGAGAGAATCAGACGTGCGGCTGAAGTATGGATGACGATATGGACCCTCACCCCATGGGTTGTGTTCTGATCTGGTTCTTACCTTAGCAACGCCCCTGCGAGACTCTCGGCATTTGGGCCGTCCAAGTTTGTCGTGGGCTCATCTAGTGCTAGTATTCCACAGTTGAGGCAGAATGTTTCTGCTAAAGCTAACCGAATGATGAGAGATGCAAGCACCTGAGATCACATAAGAAATTCAGGCACCCCACGTTTCAGGTTTAACTCATCTTTTCACTGAGCACAATGAGTTGGCTTTACCTTCTGGCCAGCACTGCACCTTCCTCTCATTTCAAGCTCTGTATCACCGGTCTGCATGAGCACCTGGCATATTGTATACGGGCGAAATTGTTTTGTTAGAGAAGGGAACATTCACGGGAGGAAGCAAAAATGAGTAATGAACATGTGTCACGTACCTTGTAGCTGTAAGAACGAGTCCCGGAACCTTCAGCATCTGAATGTATTCGTATGTAATCTATGTCTTGTCCCCTATAGGTTTGTTGCCATAATTCCCTGATGATTTTGTTGATTTCCTCCATTTTCATGGTGTGGAACCGCATGAGAGCTCTGCCCGATATTAGAAGACAGTCAACTACAGAGCACTGCTATTGACATCTCTAGCAAATAGGGGAGAATTTGCTTTTATAACCAGAGACAACTTACTTGTCAAGAGCATTATAGTATCTGTCTAGGTCCTTATTGGCCATTTCAGTGGTCTGCCACGAAGTTTTTCAGTTAGCTATGTAATGCCAAGGAAAATCTGAAAATGCTCATTAAACAAAAGCAAGAACAATAATAATGCACACCTTGAGCTGTAGTAGCTGATCAAAGTACCGCTTGTCTATATCCTTATAATGGGCCTGTTTAAGCTCAACTTTATTCTTCGAGATGTTGCTTTGAAAGACAGACATGGTTCCTCGACATCTATTCAACTGTTTAATTTACAGGGAATTAGCCATCATCACCCGAGGATCAATAATTTTGATAACAAATGAAAGAATAATAAGGAAAACATAAACAAGAAAAAGAAAATGCACAATCTCCCTCACGACATGGACTATGGTCTGTTGACGATAAAAGTCAAAACTGCAGAATAATCAACCGGTGACTTCAAGTCAGCTCCTAGCTATTTGTTCAAACTTTGTACCAACACTAGTCTTTATATATTCCAGATTATAGTACTTTATACATCAGGAGTATACTGGAGTTACTAACACATAACATGAAATAAAGAGAATCAAAGGGAGCTAACGTGACACTCCATTTAATTCAGGAAACCACCAGACAGCAATAGTATTCTTTATACCTGAAAAAATAGATGATATTAGAAGAGAAATTCCTGGGCAGAGATGCATACCTCTGACAGAAGCCGGTCCCTATCTTGTAAAAGCTTTCTCAGATCAACTTCAAACTTCGAGAATCCACCCATTTGTAACACTGTGTTTTCCAATGTTTCGATCTCGTTAGTACGCCTCTCGACTTCAGCCTTGGTTTTCCTATAATTTAAGTTGTCTTCGATTTCTCTTCTAAGTTTCTCTTGTTTGTCATAGTCTCCCTTTAACGTACTTATATCATTTGAATGTTTCTTTTTCACTGTCTCGCAGTCTTCAAGTTGAGACTCAGATATAGATAGCTTTTCTTGCGCCTCTTTCAGTCTCTCGCCCTTCTTTAAATCATAGTACCTGGCAGTTCAAGATTGAAGGTAAACACAAATTATCCTGAGAATATCATTGCTGAATATCATCAATTAGAAAACTTACTCCTTAATTTTAGACATGGTTTTCAGCACTGTGTCAACTTCCATCTGATACTCATCCAATTCTTTTCTCTGTTCTTCATACTCCTGCTCAAGTTTGATTTTCAGTTCTTTATGGTCACTCTGTTGTTTCTCCTTCTCCCTTGATAAAGGGCCAAGAGCTGCTGCTAAATGCTGGAGAAGGAACAAAGAACATAAGCTTCTGATTATGATAATGCGAAAAGACCTCATTTGCTTCCTACATGTCACCGATAGTGAGCCACCGAGGAAGATCTATAAGAAAACTATCAGAACGTTCATAAAAAGGGGGGAAACTACCAACACATTCTTAGAAACACATACAACACCTTGTTTGAAAATTTCAACAAAAAGAAGTTTTTGATCTGGGAAACATCATGCTGCTCGTAGTTTTCTAGCTGTGAAAACAACACCCTACCTATTAGCTCAAAGGTAAAGTGACAAATGTAGCAGTTTCTGTATCTTATAGTAAAATTGGAGCATATAGCAAGAATCATGACCAGCTTAAACTGGTTTGAAAGCAAATCCTGGATACATCACCAAATGCAACTACCATGGTCACTTTTTCCACATCAACCAATAGCTAAACTACAATTTCACTCCATCCCAATCTTTTGTATCCATGTCCCACAGGTATCATGACCAGCTCAAACCCGAGCCCCTTTTTGGCTCTTGGAAGCACTCTCACGTTTCAGACAGCCAATTGGTGACTTCACCCCAATTTAAGGCTCATAATTTCGAAACTGGTCTTACAGTCAAAGTTTATCAGTTTCCAAGTAATTTCACTCTAAATAAATACCTGTTTTTTTGTTTCATCACAAATCCATATATCACAATGGAAAGCAGGTAGCAACTCATCCAGGTATGAAATACAACCTTCTCATCAAGCTCAGCTTGATTTTTTTCCTCAGCCAACTTTTCCAATTCTTCCTCTAGCCTTTTGAGATTACATAATAGGTTTGATGCTTCAACCTTTTCCTCCCTTAGACCATGCCAGCGAAGCTGTATGTTCTGCAGATCGTTTTCCATATACCTTTGCTCATCCCTTAACTTTTCCAGTTCACTCTGCAGGGAGTCCCTGGTCAGCAATAGAAACATGTAATCAATCGAATGATTTGACACAGCAGAATACTTCAAATGCTAAACATTGTAAATATAAAAATCATTGGTAAATGACCAATAGCCTAATATAGTTTGCTCGCACGGGTAATATAAGCTGAGAATAGGTAATCAAGTGTTTGATGCATCTGGATTTCCCAGAAAGGATCCTGGAAGAAAAGAAATCTAACCACAGCAAGGATGTAGGACAGCATGCAAAACATTTGGAAAATAATAAAGTTCCTAAGAATGTCTTGATGCCTCGAGATATTTTTAACTGGAAAAGGAAAACATAAGAAAAATAAGGATGGTGGTTTAATTCCAAAATGAGATCAAACATTTACTATATGCAGTGACAATAATAATGCCAGGGCTACATCCAACCAGAAAATAAACATAATATACCAATCCTTTTGGTGCTTCATTTCGCACAAAAGGTAGTTAAACAAGCACAATGTGTTCAGGCCAAAACACCCTCGCCCAAGTGCAAGCGAATTAAGTCTTTACATTCCATTAGAAAGAATATGAGTCCAAACATATTCAATTTTTATGCCCGAGACTGTCAATGCAGCTCCTGTAAGATTTAGCACAAGTAGAAGAAACACAGGCTAGGAAAAATGATGAGTTGGAACTAAGTACCTTGTACTCTGACAAGCATTAAGTTCAGACTGGATTTCTTCCATAGACCTGGCACCTTGTCCGCGTAGGTCAAGCTTGTATTCCAAATCATCAACTTGCTTTTGCAAACTCTGAATTTCTTGATGAAGTCTATCCGCAGTATCAATAGGTTTCACTATTGCATCAACAGAGTCTTTATCAGCCTTGATCTGGGCCAAGATTCCCAAAAGCTACAAGGAAAACCAGTTAAGTGGTAACTACTCGATTTGGGCAGGTGTAATGAGGAAATATTTAGTGCCCAACTTCCACTTTGAAGTTCACCAACAAACTTGCTATGTTACACTTCTAGTCATATAGGAGCCAAAATTGAGGTTAGCTTAGCAAGAGCAAATAGAGAAACAATCAAAAGAACGGAACGAGAGAAAATGTCAAGAAAAAGCATCCAAAACTGTCAACTGCCCATAGTTCAGCCTGTAACCCGTAACTATAACCATTCAGCAACTATAGCCAATCCAAAGCAAAATGTTCCACTACATATGATACTTGGGTGGCCCAGTAGCCTTCTACCATTCTATTTTTCATGCAGTGATAGGTTATGGTTGTCAAGAACCAGTTAGTCCCAATAACTCGAGTTGTTGGGAGAGGTTCAATCGTGGATCATATACCACAACACTAACACGCCCCCTCAAACGAAAGCCACTCACAAGGGCTTGAAGTTTGCACAGGTCTGAAGACAATAATACCATGTGCTTAACAAATGGGGGTCACCGGGAATCGAACACAAGACCTCTCGGTCACAGAAGGCTCTGATACCATGTCAAGAACCAGTTAGTCCCAATAACTCGAGTTGTTGGGAGAGGTTCAATCGTGGATCATATACCACAACACTAACAATGGTAAGTAACTATTTTTAACAACCCTTTATCCATATTGCTTTAGCAGTGCCTTAGATGTTCTTAAGGATTAGTCATTACAATAGAAACACAGGAAACCCTATGATGAATGAGATTGATCGTGAAAGTCAATTATGTACTGATAACAAACAGCAAGTGTCAATACTTACATCATCAAGGGCCTCAGACTTCTGATCAAGCTCTTCTTTTAGCTCATGCAGAGCTTTCTCTGCCAGAGGTATTGTGTCCTTGCCAAGTTTGGCATACTCTTCATATGCTATACGGAGCTTGTCCAGCTGCTGGAAGATAGAATCTGCGCTTGAAGAATCAATGGACAACTTTTTCATGTGCTCTGCAGAACTTGCAGCTTTAACTCTTTGCTGCACTTTCAGTGTACCCAGGAAGAATTTTAGCAAATGAAACCAGTTTACACCTCGCTCCAGAATCAGCACAGAATTGGGTTATGGAACACAGACCTTTTTGACAAAGTCATCTTCCTCCTCGGGAGAAAAAGGACGCTCGCAGCAAGGGCAGAGATGATGAGCACGGGCAACTCGTTCAAAAGGATCAAACATTTGACGCATGCCATCAGCAATGTTATACTTGCTGCAAAGAGGAAGTAAACAGCATATAAGTCCCAATGTGGCAACAAAAACTGAAAACTGAGTCAATGCAGTGACATGCACATTGGTAAGACAAAGAAAACCTTTTCTGGACATCTCTTTTCTCCTTTGCTGATTCCAAAGCTTTAAAGTAAGACTCAATGGTGGAAGATTGTTGATCCAATGACTGCAGCTTGGATTCGATAGATCTCTTTCGAGCTACATTCATTTGTCGCATAAGCAGAAGTTAGGTGGAAAACCGAAAGCAAAATAGATCCCCTCAACAGGAATTGAAGAGGGCCAGACTCGACTATAATTTTCCTTGAGAACTTAGTGTTTCTTAACTTGCATCAGCCAATTATGAGTTTATTTTTCCATAATGCAAAAGGCCAAAGGTAGACCACTGAGTAGCAACCTAAACATGCCGGCGCTCTTACTAGAAAAGTATCAATCCACATGCAAAATAAACATAGCTAAACCACCCCCAACTGACACATAATACCAAATTGACCTATTTTCACCTAAATCACTGCAGGTATTCCCATCAATGACAGCATTGGTGCAGAAGCATCACATAAAAATCTCATATACTCCCAAGGGGTTGGCCCAGTTGCATTGGGATGAGAGTCACTGTACGTTCAAACTTGGCAGCAACATAAACCATCCAAATAATAATAAAAGAAAAATCTTTGCATGTATATGGAGTTTTGAAGCATCCAAGCTCTCCATTTTGTTCGGGATATATACTCACCATCCATATCTTTGTGGAGTCTGGAGATATTATTTTCAGTCTCTTTGATTTTCATTTGCAGCACTTCCACATCCTTCTCCGCTTCACGGGTTTTGGAATTCAAGTCATCAAACTCACCAGTAAGAGTCCTACTCCAGGAACAGATTCAATATGTTATTGTTCAAGAATTCACAAGTAAATAGCTAAGCAAAAGCCAAAAAGAACACCATTTTGACCTATGTTAAAACAACCAGGAGTTCAGAGAACCTAATCATAATTGCAAATCAGAGAGCACAATTAAAAACCAGATATTCCATGCAGGGACTTGGGAGGAAGAAAGGGCTGATATCAGAGTCGATATCATATTGCCTTACTCAAGAAACACTGGTCAAGCAGGACAGTTTAGGATATGATTTGCAAGTAAATTGCAAGTATTCAACGTGCAAGTGTCCATATTATATTGCTGAAAAATGCCTGTGAAATTCACCCGGAACAGGCTATGAGCAAGTTCAGAAAAAGGCAAGAACTATATTAAGCTCAATGTTGCAGCTCACAATCAAGGAAACCTGAAGCTAGATCATTTTCCCCAGAGGATTATCTCGATATATATAGACATCTACTCACATCAGATTGCATATGCCAACTATCCAACAGTAAAGCAGAACTGATCGTTCGTTTGGCTCCGAAGAAATATAAGATAACAGCGTAACTAACAGAGCATTGAGAAGCTCCACTAATTAGCTTGTTCACATCATTGCAACAGATTGTATGATATTACTACATCGGGATGTGGTTGAACTGTCTGAAAATGTGTCTAGCTTCACAAATCCAATGCCCAACAGTATAAATTGATTGAGACAAGAGTAAGAGTTAAGACGCTTTACTTTAGCCAGACCCAATGAATCAGAAAACACCCATCAAGTAGCACTACCATATAAATTCCCGAGAACAAGAAATCTGCAAAGAGACATTGTAAATAAGATCTGAATAACCTTAAGGCTTGAGTAACTTCCTTCTTCAGATCCTTATCAACAGGAAGCCTCCCTTTTAGCACTCCTCTGATCTTATCTTTGTATTCATCAATTCTGGTAAAAGTAAATACACCAAAGATAACTAACTATAGCAGGTCGCGGAAGCCATAAATATATATATATAAAAACTGATGAACAGAGGCCATGGTATATTGAAGCACAAAAATGCACCACAAAAAACGGGAAACATTACATTCTTCTATGCTTCTTTTTGTGATTATCCAATTCCGCCTTCTTGAGAGACATCATAACTCTGTCCTCAGAATCACTAGCCAAGACATCTTTCTCCCGATTAAGTGCCTTAATTTGTTGTTCAATACCATAGAACTCACTTTGTTTCTGGCGTATATTTGACTCAAACTCTCGTTCAGCAAGCTGATTAGTCTTTCTTTCAATCTCTATTCGCTGCAACGATTAGAAATGTCAAAGGAACCACATGCAGTGTATACGTAAGTCCTAGAGGCAAAAACAAAAAACAAAAAAAAACTTTAAACATCATCATTACCATATTCTTTTCCTTTTCTTCAATACGAGAAAAATTTACATCAGATATCTTTTCCTCGTAAGACGCGAGCACAGGTTCCTTGTCCTTAATCCGATTGGAAATACTATTCTGTAGAGGATTGCAATAAGTGGAAAAAAAACGTGAATCAGAAAGAAATACATTTAGCGCATCTACAACTAACAAGTACCCTTCATGGACGGGAAAAAGACTTGACTGGTTGACCTTTATTTGAGCTTTAGCCTGTACTTGAGACTCAGTGTCTTTCCAACGCTTATTTGCATCCCAGTAGCTATTTTCTGCTGCATTGACTTGGTTATCATTTGATTTCTGAAACCAACAGAAGTCAAAATTAACAAGTTAACAAGTCTTCATGGCTCTTTAAAGAACAAGCAGGAAAAAAAATCTGAAACGCAATAGATGCATGCACACATGTGAATGAGCATCTTGCGCCAATCTATGACCATCTTGCACAGTAGTAAAGCACAAATCAAAAGGGAAAAGGACATGTTACCTTTTTCTCTTGTAAATCTTTTTCAAGATTCACTGACCTTGATTTCAGACGGTCAGTGAGATTCCAAGCCATCTCATCACTTAATAGGGTGTCTTGAAAAGAGCCCAAATTATATCTTGTACAAAGGCTTCGGATTATAGAATCTCTTTCGTACTTCAAGGAATTGTGAGCCTGCATTCAAAAACTAGAAAGTCAGAGATTCCTCTTCAATAGGGGTATTTGACCAAACCACGAAGTTTTATTCAACAAACATTACATCGGTTTCAGCCTGAAGCCTACTAATCTCTCGGATGTATTCATTGACATTCTTCTTAAGAAAGGATGCTTTGACTTCTGAATCATTCATTTCTCTCTCCAATTTGCTAATTTTCGTGTTGAGGTTGGCCACAAATTCGTCAAAAGTGTTTTTGCAACCAATCAATGTCTCATCGTCATCTGACAGAAACACAGTAAAATACGAGAAATAAGTATAAAATACATTCAAAATGACGCGTCGCTTCACCATCCAGATTCATAAGCTTGGAAATGATCCTCTGCATTTTATAACAGTAGTGCATGGACGATTGCAGTTAATCAACACAAACATGGATCACCAAGATTCTAGGAAAAGAAAATGATTATTGGTTAATGCCAACTCATAAAACCTGTGATTTCTGCATCAAGGGCAGCAAGCTGCCGTTCCATCTCCTCCACCAGAATTCCTCTTTCTGCATTCTTAGTGGATATCTGTTCCTTTAGTTTCCTCACCTCCTTAAGTGTTGCTTCAGTGTCATGGATTCTTCCGTCCACATTTTGAAGGTTATTTTCTAAGTCTTGTATTTGTAGATTTAAAGATTCCGTCTTTTCTTGATCTTGAGAAACGCTTTCCCGGAGCTGAAGAAATAGAGAGCAGACAAAATAGAAGAAAGAAGGAAGACAGTAGGTAGAAACTCAATATATATCATTAAAATGAGAATCATAAATACACTAACCAATACATCAGATGATCTAGACTTGTACCCTCCAACTGATTCAACCACAAAACCCCTAAATGTATCTTACAAAGCATGAAAGGTGCAGAATTTCTAACCTTATATGCAGCATCCTTCAGGGTTTGAAGATTCTCCAATTTTAGCTTGTAAGCTTTAATTTCCTGAGCCTGATCCTTATGGAGTTTCTTGATGACTTCTAAGGCCTTGGTATATCTGCGTGGGAATCGATCATCAGCATACTTTAAAAAGAGATGTCCAGCCAGCACCAAAAATAAGAAACTGAGGAAAAGAAAATTATGAAAGCTCTACACTTTGGAATGGGATCCGCAACAATCTTGTGCTGGAAATTGCTAATACTTATGCACCTTCCAGGTACTAGTTACGCGAGGAAATTTTTTGAGTTAAACTTTCTCAAAATAACAAGATGTTACCAACTTAATGTGAATGTAAGCTTATAAGTTTTAACACCATTGAGGTTCGTTGGAGCACAGCCAGGACTTGCTAAAAGCTTATAATGTGTTTACCTATAAATTTTACTTGTCTCTCTATATAGTAGCTTCCCCACATCATTAAGCTTCTTGACATAGTTGGAATAACCAGTTTTATTTTTCACTTGGCACATCTAAATTTATGTATGACCATACCACCCGCACATACATTATGATGCACAACATCTCACAAGGACAAGTGGGTGAAAAAAAGAAGAAGTTCTAGGGCACACCACACATGCTTCAAAGGAATACATAAGAAGCATTGTGCATGAAATACTATCAACTATTACAAGAACAATTCATCTGCAGTGAAGGAGATATGGGACGGTAAGGACAACTTAATCAGATGCCAATATTTCAGCAGGAGTGTCAAAAACAGTACCGTGTGGCAGAGAATATGTCATCAAACTTCTTTTTCAATGTAGAAGGGTCTTGCAAGGGCCAGTTAGCTTCATCTTGGTGAACAAATATGACATTCTCCAGAACAGCCTTTGAGACACCCATCAATGCAGGGATTTCCCTGTCCATATCAGCACATCTATAGCTAAGGCAAACTTTCTGCAGTTCAAAATAGCCAAAATCAAACCATGGTAAGTGTTAATTTTATAGAAACTAGCAAGTGCAACAAGACAACCTCAGATATCACAGTGAAAGGCATTTCGAGACAGAGTGCAAGACAAGACCACATAATACACCAGCTCAATAGAAAAGGAAACATACTGAAAACAATTCAGCCTGTGAAGCTAATTTATACAACAGTACACAAATCAAAAGAGACGAGAACAGCCAATAACAGACACAAACTGCTTGATCAATTTTACCAACCAATTTAAAAAATGACTGCGGCCTACGATCAGAAGAAGCAGCATACACCATACATAAAATTAATTGAAACCAATTGATAACCACCCAGGACTAACAGACTGATCAATTAAAGCAACAAAACTTTCTGCATACGAGAATTAATTGGAGAACACTAAACTACTTTCTACAGACTACACAATGTGGTCCAACCTACCAAAGTGGACAGGGAAGCCCATGAGATTACTAACATCAACCAGAAAAATACCATAAGGTAGGTACATTAAAAGACAGTCAATATAGAGGCACAAAGGAATTTTAGAATCTAGAGACCAATCTATTATTGCAGCTAACTGACACGCACAAGCTCGCAAATGTCCTCTAGAGTCTAGGCAACCGCAGAGCTCAAATACTACAAAGTAAGTTTATACCACGACGAATTATTTAGTTCAAAAACTGTTCATTTCAAATCACATTATTCATATCATGCAGCACGACTCGGCCATCAGAATGACATGCAAAGGAACACCAATTAGATGAAAGCTACTCTAACCTCTCCAGTGTGCGGATTGATTGTCTGAAGCACACTCTCGATTGCCTTATACTCCATCTTCGACGCTTTCTGCGTCAGCTGAAACGACCTGATGCATACCACATCCTTACCAGCAGCAGTCTTGAATCGGAGCTTAATTTGTCCCTTTGTCTCAGTTTCCCCTGCTACCTACAAAGCACAACCCAAGCTAATCAGGCACACCAACGGCAGCTTAATATGCAAACAGATACTCAAACTACCTATTTTATCGCCAAGAACACAGAAAAGAGTTAACTCCACAGAAGAGTGAGAAAGAGAAGATGGGGAAAACCTTGGGATCATGGACGAAGCTGTGCCCAGACCTTGCATTCGGTGGCATCTCCCCAGTGCATGCAACCTTCAAGCATTCTATAATCGTCTGCACAAGCAAAAAGGAAACAGTAGATAAAAAACTTAAAACCCTACAAAAAAGCTGAAAATGAAAGCGGTGTTTGGAGGGAGCAGAAAATACAGTTTTGCCGGCGCCGTTGGGGCCGACGATTAGGGTAAGAGGCCTGAAGAAGGTGATGACGTGCTTGTTCTCCGGGTCGAAGCTCCGGATTCCCTTTATCAGCATCTTATCGACCGTACTCATCTTCTCTGCTACCGAGCTCCCACAGCCTCGTTCTTCCGGGCGACGAACACTAAAAGATGATCACCCTATGAACTTCAGTATGTGAACCGAAACTCCGCGGTGAGATACGAATCCTGCAGATTCCAGCAGCTAACAAGAAGCAGCCATTGGAGAATCACTGAATCGGATTTGAAAGAGAAGGGTTTTAGCCTTTCTTCGTCTTCCCCTCTACTAGAAAAGGCGGGTATTGGGACTTCACTTGGGGAAAAGATTTTCGTCTTTTTTCGATTCGTTTTTCTCTTTTCTTTCCTGTTTTCAAAAAAGAAAAAACTCTCGGCCCGCGGCTTGCTCGGCACGACACGTCGTTTCGGTTGAACCCTTCGAATGAACAAAATATTGGCGAGATGATGAAATCCGCCATTTTCAAAACCTCGCGCTTGTGAATCAGAACTCGGCGAAGAGCATGATAGCAGTATGAATTCCCGAGAGCCGGGCGTGGGAAGCAACGATTTTTCTTCGTCTCCGTCATTGGCATTTTCGTCTGTTCCAGATTGGGGCGAGCCATTGACGGAGCAGGAGCTGGAAGCCATTGACGCAATTGAAGCTACATTTCTGTCCGCGTCGACTCCCTCCGCTTCCTCTGCGATTAAGGAACAAGATTCGAGTGCCCAAGATGATCAAGCCAGCAAAAGACCTTGCCGACGACTGCCAAGCTCCATGCTCGATCTCTTTACACCATTTCCCCTGTCTCCTTGTAAAGGTGCTCGCTCATTTCACCTCCTTTTTCGTTCTCTTGTATGCTCTCTGTTGAACGATTCCTTTGCACTATCGATTCGCCCACAAGACTGCGCAGAACCTATCCCCGAAAAATGATTGAAGGGTGGAAACTTCGCTTGAAACTGGTTCAATTCATGGTCTTTTGGGCTCCCCATTGTTGCGCTTCAGACTCTATATGTCCTTTGCCAAATGCATATAACCTTTGGTGTAGAAGAAATGTCTTGTGAAATTGCTTTTATCATACTTTCTACTGCAGCTGATGTAAAAATGAGGTATCCTGCAATCAAATTTGGAGGTCGAATTTCTTACACTAGAACCTCAGTGGAGGTGGAAAAGGCCGCAAGGGAGCTTCTTCGCAGCCTTGAAGCTAAAAGGGGAGAAAGTGATCTTGTTGCTGTTGGGTTTGATATAGAGTGGAAGCCAACATTCAGAAAAGGCATGTTCTTATCTGAAATAAGAATGTTGCGTGCCTTTCAAAATGATGTTTATAGTTTTGTCAAGACTGGGAAAGTCGGTTTCTTTTTCATAACAACTAAGCAAAACATGTTTGGGACCATGATACTATAGGTGTTCCGCCTGGCAAGGCTGCTGTTATGCAGTTGTGTGCAGATATTGGCCAATGCTATGTGATGCACATATTTCATTCCGGAATCCCTCCGAGCCTGCGGCTTCTTCTACAAGATTCTACACTTGTAAAAGTACAAAAGATCTTTCTGTACCCATTTGTTTTCTATTCTATTTGACACCCAATATGTAGATGTATCTTATGTTTCTATCCTCTGATACCTCTGTAGGTTGGAGTTGGGATTGACAACGATTGCGTGAAGGTTTTTAAAGATTATAATGTCTCTGTTCTAGGTGTAGGGGATCTTTCATGTCTAGCTAATCAAAAGCTTGGTGGAGAACCCAGAAATTGGAGTCTTAAAGCTTTAACTGAGATGCTTGTTTCTAAAGAGGTACCTTTACATTTTCCTGTCTACCTACTGAAGAGTTACAACCCATTCCTGCAGCCAATCTTGGGTTGTCATCTCTTATGTGTTTCTGTATCTTCATGCATCATCTCCCTTTATATTTTGAGTTGAGATTATGAATATCTACCTAAGGAATACGTGTAACATGGGTGAATGCGCATCAATGGAGAACTTTCTAATGTATCTTAGTAGCACACATATGGAGAGTTTAGTTAGGGATATAGGACTGGTGATTTTTCATCATTGGAAAACATACCAGTGTATACTTGCGAATCTAACATCAGGTTCACTGCTATATATGCTGTATTTATAGTTATACTCTTGTCAGTAAAACTTGCTTCTGGATTTTGTACAAGATAACAACCATACTCGTCAAATGAACTGCATTGACAATAACTTAGACGAACTTTGGAGTTGGCAGTTAATGTGTGGACATTGCTAGAACCACTCACCGTAGTAGAACATTATGTAGATTCTTTAACTTTACTAATGAACATTCCACCCAGAAAAGTTAGGAAACAAGGTTGTGACTTGTGTCAGCATTATGAATGAGGTTTACGGACTAATGGTTTATCTCTTGCTTCGTAAGTTTCTCCAGAACCTGTGCTTTTGCTTGGCGTTTTCCTCTTTAAACTTATGTTCTCTACTTTCTTGTTACATCCTGTTTCGTTCATTTGCAAATTCGCCCAGTTAAGGTCAGTGGTTTATCAAACAGACAAATTACTCCGAGATGCAACTGGATATTATTTCCTCTGATGTCATTTTGGACTGTGATCTTAAGCAATAGCATCATTAAGTTATTCTAACTAGCTAACGAACCATACTTTCTGTAGCTTCCGAAACCGAACAAGATCAGACTTGGGAACTGGGAAGTTAAATCTCTATCAAAGCAGCAACTACAGTATGCAGCTACAGATGCTTTTGCTTCTTGGCAACTCCACCAGGTAATTTATACCTTCTAGTTTTTAAAAGATATCTAGCTTCGCACAACTGCATTTGTTGCTTACCCAACTTTCTTACCGTGAATGGTTTCCTCTAATGAATAGGTCCTGAAAGAGCTTGCCGACACAGATAATTCTCTACGTAATGAAACAAGTGAGGAAGTGAAAGCAGCTGTGCCACCAAGAGTTTCATACCCGTAGGCCAGAGTTTATCATCTGGAAGGCAAGTCAACGCCAATACAATCGATCCCACCACAGACTGACAATCAACTCAGGCCCTGGACTTTTCCTTGTCCTATGGCAGACAAGGACTATAGTTTATAGCCTCGGCAGTCAGAAACCTCATTGTCTTCTGGTCCATCTAATCAAAGCCTAAAGTCCCCACTGATAAATTATTGAGTCCAATTCCTATCTGGACATCAGAATGGGAAAAGACAGATATCCAAAACGTAGTTTAGTTATCAAGTCTTCTGTATGTACCCTGTAACTTTGTTTGCGTTCTTGTGCTTCAATCTTCTTCCTGTTCCCACCTCACTTTAATGACTTGAGGGCCAGCTATCCTTTCCGTACCAAGTTGTGCCCTTTTAAGTAGGTAATGGGAAATTTGATTCCGGGCCATGCTTTATTGCGAGATGCCATAGCCAAAGTACTGGTTTGATGGTGGGGATTTCGTTTCATGGATTGATGGTGGACAATGGACTCCGGTTGTGATTTTGGTCTTATGTAAATGTTGGAATCCATAGAATTCTAAATCTATGGAGAATTCTAAATCCACCACTCGTGAAACCACCCGTTACCAAAATTGGAGTGCCCTAATGACTTTTCTTTCAGGGCACTGAGCTCACCAGATCATGCAATAACAGCAAAGGATATATTCTGCAGAGATCATCATGATTCATGAACCAAGTGGTGAAATTGCAGAGTATCCTGGTGGGGTGCAAGTGTGTTACAGAATACAGAAAGGGGGCATCAGCCAAACAGCTCACATGGTCAGCACATGGGCTCAAGCTTTAAAGAGTGGCCAACCAACCATAGAAACATAATACCAGGCTACCAGTACTGGTTATCAGTTTGAAAAAGGAGGAAAAGGAAAGGGGGAACAAAGACCCTCTCTTTCTCTTGCTGTCCCAACTTCCTCTTGTTGGCCATGCAATGCAGTAACACCAAGAAAGGAAGAAGCAATTCATTCACCAAATGATTGATTGAGAAATCATGTCACTCCCATTTCCCCCTCTTTTTCCACCTTCCACAGTGGAAAAGGGTGGCAGCAGGAGCAAATCTGCAGAGTCTAACAAAAGGTGTCAGATGGGTTAGGTGTAAAAAAGGGTGGGGAAAAGGAGGAAAAGGGTTGGTTGGGATGCTTCTTGGAGGTTGTTTGTTTCATGTTTCTTGTCTCTTCTTCTCCTTTTCATTTACTGATCTATCTACCTGCTGCAATGATGTCCAGTCCTTAAACATTAGGCAAGGGAACAAGCACAATAAACGATTAAAAGAAGGGGATTTGGTTTGGAGCACTGTTTTGCTGTGTAGGGTTTACTTATTACCAACTCAGAACTGGTACAGAAACTTAAATTTGCAGGACTGTTTATGGCCATGAAACTCTCAGTACTTTTCCTGAGAAGGTTGCTGCTGACTTGCATGTCCTAGCTTATGAAACCCGTGAAAATACCAGTGCTTGTAAGTTGTAATGATTGATTGTAAATTCATGCATGCTTGTTTCATGCTTAATCCGAAGTTGCAGACAAATTCATGATACATAAGGAGAGAACAGGCTGATAAGATGATCGTACAATCATTCTTTCGCGCACCAAGCGTTCCATGTATTGTTGAATAAACGTGGTGACAATTTTATAAATATAATGTCTCAACGGGCCCACTCGTAAGCCGAGGACCGCTATCAACTTTTCATTGATGAGACATTTGCTCACTCCAAATGTTAGAGGCGGCGAGGATGACTTTCTTTCGTTCAAATATCTGGTCTCTTTATAATTAGATCAAAACTCGATTCTCTTAAATAGACCGACGCGTTTCGCTCCTTCTTTATTAATTATTCTCATCACTAATCACAACAATGATATTAAGCAGAGATTTGATCCGATTAGATAGCAGACTCCAAATCCAAAACTGGTAACAGAAATGATTGAGGGGGGAAATTCCAAACCGTCATGTCAATATGTCATCTTCAACGTGCAGTAGCCGGAAGACGATCAAGCAGAAGAGAATCTTGCCGCCGACGAAGCCGTATTTTCTGATTTGTCGTCTTCATATCTGCAACTTGCTTGCTTGCTTTCATTTTATTTGATTATAATAATAGTCTAAACATGCCAGCTTGGACGCTCAGTAGGAATAATCATCACTTAAGAATAAGATTAGTGGTGTGAGCAAAACACATTATTTATATTTACCAACAATATATAATTTAGAAGGCATACACTCTTATCATACACCTAAGAGATTTCAATGTGTGTTGTAAATATAGTTCAAAAGTTGAGGGTCGAATGACTCTTTCACCAATTGTATCGCAATATCGTAATCGTACATAACAGTTTTGTTATCGTCCTTTTATTACACATTGAGTAGTTAATGTGGTTGATTTTGATCTATTGCGCAATTTGACAACAAACGATTCAAGTGGGTTGTTACTAACCTGAACTAGTAGGAATTGGTTTTTTCTTTCAGGTATAAAATCATATATAGATTATAAGGTGATCCTTATAAGAAAACTTTACATGCAATACTAACAAGCAATAACACACCCAAAAAACGATTACATCAATATTAACATTAATGGTTGAATTAATGCTTGGAAAGCAATGGCATTAACAAGTACATACATGAAGAAGATCCCTAGATTCAAAGGGAAAAGAAAACACCGAGAATTGAAAAACTGTACGCTACCGAGAGTTTGATTGAGATAACTTTCTATAGAATACTAAATCAATAACAATTTTTAGCGATACAAAATAATTAAACCACAATTAAATCACAATTTTTATCATAAAATACAATACCGTTAATTTTTTCCGATACAATCTCCGATAATTCTTCTAAAACACTCCCTCTCATCGTCTCAGTCTCCTCTTTACTCTTTAACTCCCAATTAGGGATGGCAATGGGTCGGGTTGGGTCGGGTTTTGCCAAACCCAAACCCAAACTCATGGGTTTATCCGTGAAAAAAACCCGGGGTAAAACCCACTGGGTTTGAAAAACTCAAACTCAACCCAACCCGCTGGGTATCCGCGGGTTCATGGGTACCCACGGGTTTTTGTCGTAAAAAAATTACAATAACAAGTTCCTATCAAAATTAAAGTCAAATATCAATCTCTCAATACAAATTATCCATATTTAAAACACCATTCTAGAAAATTCAAGCAAATCACAAATTAACTATACAAATTGTTCAACACCAATCTAGAAGACTCAAGAAAATTGAAGTAAATCATAAATTATCCATAAATAACATGATTAATTGAAAGTTTCTTCCTTTCAATTAAGTTTCTTCACTCTCCACTCGATAATACAAACTTCATTCTACACAATTAGAAAGAAAAAATTAGACATTCTCCACAAACATAAATAAGATTAGTTGTTTAAAATATTAAATATACCGAGAAAATTAATTATATGTGTGGGCGGGTACCCACGGGTCGGGTTTACCAAAACCCAAACCCAACCCAACCCGATGAATAGTGAACAGGTTAAAACCCAAACCCGACCCAAAACCCGTCAACACGGATTTTACCCGCGTTGACCGGGTTGGGTCGGGTGGGTACCCGTGGATTCGGGTTTGGTTGCCATCCCTACTCCCAATCGGGGCTTTTACTCCAATTCAATTCTCTCCCTCTCGTCGTATTTGGTATCTTCCATCCAACCAACAACCAATTTGCTCCCTTTATAATCTCCCTTCCCGCACTCTTCCCAGTTTCAGGGCTCTCACCCAAGCTCCGAGCTCTCCATAGTCCATAATCCATATACCCACTGCTTCCACATTACATTTACACAATACCCAATAAAATTCCGGCAATGGGTTCGCCGCCGGACACCAGCAAGACCATTAAGCTGGAGCGCTACAACAGCTACGTCCGCCGGATACAGAGCACCAAGCTCCTCAACGCTTCCTCCAAGCTCATCTTCCGCACCACCCTCCTCATCGCCCTCCTCCTCGTCCTCTTCTTCACCATCAACTACCCTCCCCTCTCCGACCGCCACTCCGGCGCCGCCATCCACCGGCATAGCTTCCTCTCCACCGGATTCTTCTCCTCCTCCTCCTCCTCCTCCGCAATCGGCGGCCCCAATTGGGAGAAACAGGTCCGCCGCTCCTCCACCCCGCGCCGCCCCAACGGATTCTCCATCCTCGTCACGGGCGCCGCCGGATTCATCGGCGCCCACTGCTCAATCGCCCTGAAGAAGCGCGGCGACGGCGTCCTCGGACTCGACAATTTCAATTCCTACTACGACCCAACCCTCAAGAGATCTCGCCAGCAGATGCTGCTGAAACACCAGATCTTCATCGTGGACGGGGACCTAAACGACGCCGTACTGCTCGCCAAGCTATTCGACGTCGTTCCGTTCTCCCACATCCTCCACCTCGCCGCGCAGGCCGGCGTCCGCTACGCGATGCAGAATCCCCAATCCTACGTCAGCTCCAACATCGCCGGGTTCATCAACCTCCTCGAAATTGCGAAATCGGCGAACCCCCAGCCGGCGATCGTCTGGGCGTCGTCGAGCTCCGTCTACGGTCTCAACGACAAGGTTCCCTTCTCGGAGCTCCACCGCACCGACCAACCGGCGAGCCTCTACGCCGCCACGAAGAAGGCAGGGGAGGAAATCGCCCACACCTACAACCACATCTATGGGCTTTCCCTAACTGGGCTCAGATTCTTCACGGTTTATGGGCCCTGGGGCCGGCCCGACATGGCCTACTTCTTCTTCACCAAGGACATTTTACAAGGCAAGCCCATCGACGTGTACCAGACGCAGGGAGGGGAACAGGTGGCGCGTGACTTCACGTACATCGACGACGTGGTGAAGGGGTGCGTGGGGTCGCTGGACACGGCGGAGAAGAGCACGGGAAGCCGCGGGAAGAAGAGGAAGCCGGCGCAGCTGCGGGTGTACAATTTGGGGAACACGTCGCCGGTCCCCGTGGGGCGGCTGGTGTCGATTTTGGAGGGGCTGCTGGGGAAGAAGGCGAAGAAGCGCGTTGTCGGGATGCCGCGAAACGGCGACGTTCCGTTCACGCACGCGAACGTCAGCCTGGCGTATAGGGATTTCGGGTACAAGCCGACAACGGATTTGGCGGCCGGGTTGAGGAAGTTCGTGAAGTGGTATTCCGGTTATTACGGGGTGGAGACGAGGGTAAAGAAGGAAATTGAGGAGGCTGGTGGGCTTGTCGAGGGCTCGTCAGCATGATTGGGCCATGGAGTAGCATGGGCCCACCTACCACCCCTGGCCCATTTGCTATCTCATCTCACTTGTTATTATCTCGAACGATGTATACATTTTTTAATTTTTCCCTTTGTTTTTCGTCCTTCCTGTTATAAATACTTAAACTAGGGGGGGTATTTTAGTGACGGGAATTAAATTATAGGACTGATTGAGATAAAGGTGAAATAGGGGGGAGTGGGGAGTGTAGACTATGGAGTTGGGGTATGAAATTGTAATAAATTCGGGCGGTGAGGGATTTCTGTAGGAAATAGGGCAGATCTCTATCCTCCAAAGAACCTGATGCTCTTTTTTATTTATTTTCTTTCCTGTTCTTTACAGAAGGAAAGGAAAAGCAAGAATTGTAATTGAACAGTACACCACTTGATTTATTTTACCTAAATTGAAAGATACATAATTCCAAAGCCCTGACCAGGGATAGCAATGGGTCGGGTTGGGGCGGGTTTTGTCAAACTCAAACCCATGGGTTTATCCGCCAACAAAATCCGGGGTAAAACCCGTTGGGTTTGAAAAACTCAAACCCAACCCAACCCGCTGGGTATCTGCGGGTTCATGGGTACCCGTGGGTTTTTGTGGTAAAATTTTTACAATAACAAGTTTCTTTCAAAATAAAAGTTTAACATCAAATTTCTCATACAAATTAATCATACAAAAAACGACAATCTAGAGCATAAAAGCAAACCGCAAATGATCAATACAAATTGTTCAAAATTAAAGATAAACATCTATAAACAATCAGATTAATTGAAAGCTTCTTCCTCGTCAACTAAGTTTCTTCACTCTCCACTTCATAATATCAACTTCATTCTAAACAATTAGAAAGAACAAATTATACATGTCTCCACAAGCATAAAAAATATTAGTTGTCTAAAGAAGATATATTATTTAGAATATTAAATATACCGGGAAAGTAATTATATGTGTGTGGACAGGTACTGTCACAGACATAGACTTCAGTACCCATGGGGTGGGTTTACCTAAACCCAAACCCAATACGACCCGGTAAATAGTGTAGCGGGTTTATACCTGAACCCGGCCAAAAACCCGTCAACGTGGATTTTACTCGTAGTGACCGAGTTAGGTCGGATGAATACCCGTGGGTTCGGATTCTGTTGCCATCCCTAGTCCTGAACAAGGCCAATAGCCCATTGATGAACACAGTTCTATGTTGTCTTCGTAGAATTAAGTCCCTTCTTCTGTCACCCACGTACAGGCAGCTGACCAGCTTCCATCGACAATTGAAATTGCAACAAATGATCGCAGAAACAAGGTGACCCCGTAAGACACACTCCATTACGCCTCCACAATCTGTTCACCTACTCTTGAAGAACAATAATTGATAACCATCATCGGGTTCATAAGCTGACCTCCAATTATGAGTTGGCGTAGGGATAATGTAGGTCTCATGACATCTATTACACATCGATTACACACCATGTTAGAGGCAACAATCTAGAAAGGACAATGGAGGTTGGTTGTTTTTTTATTCAGAAGGGAAGATGGAGCTATATGTAACTGAAAGGTTTAATACACTTGTATATCCAAAACTTTTTCGGTTGTACCAATAATATCCAAATTTTCAGAAATACCACTTATAGCCAATTCCGTCACATTCTTTAACGGTGTTAACGTTAAGTCTGACTAGACAAACGGTGGTGCTTATGTGGCGAACGCTTATTTCCCAATTTCTCTGAAATTATCCACGTGGATTGCTGATTAATTTAATTTAAAAAATAAACAATTAAAATTTCCAACCCCCTCCTATGACCTCACCCCTCGTTCAACCTAGATTTCTACCATTTTCCTTTTTTTTCGTCGGCGAACCCCCTAACCCTTCGCCTGCGGAGGAAGACGAAGGCGACGGAGAACGATCGTCCATCGTCGACGGTCGATCTGTCTCCGACGACAGTCGTCGAATCCCCTGATTTGCCTCCATCCTTCATCGATCTACCCCCCTGCTAGTCCCGATTCACATCCCCTCATCGATCTTCCCTTCTCGCCCCCCTTCCGCGACGAGCTTAGGCCGACTCCTCCCTAACTTCCTTTTCGCTGAAGACCTCAAAACCGAACCCTAGAAACGCGAGGAGAGGAAGTCGCTTCGAAGAAACCCTAATCGCACAGTAAAGGGGGATTTCTGAGCACCTCGTATGTAGCCACTGGTGAGTCTCGCTTTTGAATTGGTAGTTGTGGCTGTTGATTTTGGCTGGAAAGTTCTTATAGAAGTGTCTTTCTCTTCCTTTTTTGGTTGGCAGCGAGGTGTAAAGACAACAAGCTGGGTCCGCAAATCGCTTTTTTCGTGACTCTGGGTCGCCGATCGCCAAATCGTCAGAATCCACGAATCTGAAATCTTCAGACGGCGGGAGGACCTTCAATCCTCGGGAGTATCTTCAGACGGCGGGAGGAGCTTCAATCGTCGGGAGGAGATTCAGTCGGCGGGAGGAGCTTCAATCGCCGCCAGGGTGCGAACCCTAAAAACACAATCGGGAAAAGGGACTGGTCGTGCTCTTCTTGGAAAGTAGAGTGGGTATATGGGGTAAATTATTTTCAATTATTTTCAATTTCTTACGTGTCACCTTTGGCATAGTTGGCGCTTACGTGTCTGCTTAGTTGGCGCCTAATCAGCTTGCCGTCAGCTATATTGACGGAGTTATTAACGCCGTCAAAGTATTTAACGGAAATGGCTAGATTTAGCAAAGAACAACTTTGAAACGTGGCTATAAGTGATATTTCTGAAAATTTGGATATTATTGGCATAACCGTGAAAGTTTTGGATATACAAGTGTATTAAATCTAACTGGAAATATAGGTTAAAATTTTACAGGTAGATAGGGCAACATGGCATGGCATGGACATGGTCTTAATCATGCACCCACATTAATAGTCTAATGAATGTGGAAGTTGATGGTACGTAGCTTTCGATACAGTGAAAATGAAAGGTAGCGCAAATGTATAAAGCAAAGCAAACGCAAATGTTTTATTTATATGAGCAAACACCCTGCTTGTTTATCATATTTGCTTTTTATTATGCATTTATGGTGGATAATTCAATTTGTTAGATCATACGTCGTATATTAAACCACCCGATTACATGCATACATTCAGAATTAGAAGGTATTGTTCATTTGTTTGCATGCAAGTAATGTAGTATTATTGTATGCAGATCGATTAGAGGATGTTGATAGGTGAGGAGTAGTAGCTAGCTAGTTTCAATTGAATTGAATTGAATGCTTTGGTTGCTTGTGTCGATAACACAATGAAATGATGGATCATTTTCCTTTCCTTTCGCCGCAGTAGCTGGCTATGTAGGTTGTTATGATCCAACACTGGCCTCATCTATCTAATCTAATCTAGTCCCACAAGTTGAATGGCGAACCCTCCTCTGTAACCTGCAGATTGTAACATGCATCAATGAAGTTGGAGTATCATATCATACTGTTGTATCGCAAAGCTTCTTGCAGCTTGAGCCGTCATTTCATTTGATAGATTTGCGTATTGCAAGTTGGTGGTCATAGTCTCATAGACAACTCGGAGGTCACCATTCATCACCTTGGTGGTCATTTCATTTGATAGATTTGCGTATGTGCGTAGTGCAACAACCTCATGAAAAAAACTACTATCTGACGGGAGCGCAGAGCTAGGCAGAAGACCCAAATCCCAACCAGATATGAATCCCAGAAACATCTGAAAACACCAGCGCCGAATGAAATTTTGCTATTAAGCAGCAAACCAGAGTCTTTAAACTTAAAGATGTTCACCTTTATTAACACACACCTTCACAGGAATGCACGTTAACACGAGATGATCATATGACCAGCACAGCTTCCTACTTACTTAGCACCCTCTGCTGCCCCTACTTTACTTAAAAGCATAGCAAGATGCACATACTGGGACAATCATATTCAATGTGCTTGACAAAAACAAATCCACGACAGGGAAAAAATAGTTCTAGCATTGTCTTAAAAAAAGAAGATGACTCTCCGAATTAGCAAAGAGTAGGAACGAGGGCCATCTCCAACGGAAGCATGGAACGCGACTAGTAATCTCCCCTGCTGCCACCGCCATAACCACCACCGCCACCGTAGCTGTCATTGTAAGCACGAGGAGCACTTGGCCTTTCGTTGGCTAGGCTCACACGAATGGGGCGACCTTGCAACTCCTGGGCACACAGCAAAGCGGCAAACAAAACAAAAAAACAAGAAATTAGTTTATATGTAGTGGAGAGAAACCAAGGAAGCAAATTTACAAGAGAGGGAAACATGTCTCATATCAGACTGACCTGTCCATCCATGGCTGACATTGCCGTGCTAGCAGCCTCCGAGTTTGAGAAACTCACAAACCCAAATCCTCTTGACCTTCCAGTATCCCTGTCATTGATAACTCTAGCTGGTTCACACAAACAACAAATCCAAAAGATGGAATTAGCATCATCATCTAAGAAAGGTGCATCTAATTGCCATACCATGCACAACCATTCAAGAAAGATATACATATTGAAACAGAAAATTGGGTTTCGGCATTCAGATCGTACCATCATCCATCAAGTAAAGAGCAAAGCAATTAACAGGCTCATAACATACTAAACTGACTTCCCCCTATAGAAACAAGACATTACTACCACCCGAAAGGTCAAGAATACAATCAAAGCTCAGGCATGAGAAGCAAAAGGCAACAATATCCCTAACGAAGCACTAATACACAAAGCACAACAACATCCCTATCAAAAGCAAACCTGAAATACGACATGCATATAACAAGCATAGCAGAGGGAAAAACTCACCCTCAACGACTTCACCATAGGTGTCGAAGGCCTGTTTGAGAGACTGATCATCGGTAGCATAGGCAAGGCCTGCAACATTAACAAAAAACACACACACAAGACAAAGTATCAGCATCGATGAACCAACAGAACACATCTAAAGCTCAAGAAAGACAATAATAACATACAACATAGTGTTTATCTACCTCCAACGAAGAGCTTGCTAGACATGTAACGGGCGGTGTTCATCATAGATCCCATAGGGAGAGAGCTGCTCTGGGAAACGCTCTGCCTCAAGAGGCCACCCAATTTGTTGCAAAACGCCATCCCTACAAAGCTGTTTCACAAAAGGGGAGAAAACCAGTCCACAAGAGCGGAAAGACAAAACAATCAAAATCAAAACATGGAACCGGATACAGTACTGCTTAATCAAACTTCGCATACAAAACGAAGACACAATCATGCCAGGCCTACAAAAAGGGAGAGAACCGATCGGCAGGAACGAAAAGACAAAAGATCAAAATCAAAACTTGGAATCAGATACAGTTTATCGTCATACTGCTAAATCAACCTTATGACACAAAAAAAGGAGATACAATCATGGCACAGCCCAAATACATGAGCGGAAAAAAAGAGAAAGGCGACACCTTTCGGAGATTTAGGTCTAAATCATAAGACACGCAATCTCCATGAGTGGAGTATGAAAACCAGAAGCCTCAAAAGAACCCAAAATCAAGATCGGAGGGAATTACCTGGAGGAGGAAGAAGAAGGAGTGAGTTGAGAGAGTGGAGAGGAGAGGTTTTAGGGTTCAGGGGTTTGAAATAAGAACTGAGGAAGCGGCTAGGGTTTAAGAAGAGGGCGAGACCGACACAAGTGGGAGATAATAAAAAAATATCAGTGGTTTCTCGACTTTTGTATTGTGCGGGCTGGACCTGGTGCGGGCCGGGTGTTTCAGTTTTGGTTGATTTATGAATCAACTCCTTTGGGCCACGAGATGAAGCCTATTCAGAAGCCCAACTTAAATGGACATCTATCTATTTATGATATATTACTTGCCAAATGGGTGGAGGAATGTCTATGGGCCTGCACTGGGCCCATGTAGTCGGAGATTTCGACTCGGGTACCGACTTCATCAACAACTGTGGCCGTTATCTCGCTTTGTCGTAGCTCCAACCGGCCTTTCCATTTACAAGCCTGCCCAAAAAAATCTCAAGAATCTCAAACCGGCCCATGTATTACCACGGCTTGGCCTATTCAAATTTCAAACGATGAATTGCATCTCAAAAGAATCTATCTCCATATAGGTATTGCTTGACATACGTATTAGTCGAAATCACACAGACAAATTTATCCTCATCAATCTGTTGTCCTAAAAGCGGTCAATACATTCTCTTTACCCTTCAAAATGATGGTCGTCTCAACTACCGATGCCATCAAGGAAAAAACAGTATTTGAATCAACAAACATGAGGCATAACTAGGTATTTACCCAGCATGATTCAATTTGATACGTGCAAAATCCACATCTCAAAACTTTTTTTTTTTTAGAGATTTGATACATAATCATAATTAAAGTCTCCTTCAAAATACGATTTGATATATTATAGAGTAACCTACACAAATTACAAATCTAAAGGTTTGGGTAAATTGCAAGGTTGGTCACTAAGATTACTAAAAACGTTCATGTTTGGTCACTCGAAATATTTAATTCCATTACTGGTCACCAAAATTAGTTAAACAATTCAACTTTGGTCACTGTCTGTTAGTCTCCGTCCAACTCCGTTAATGAAGTCTGTTAAGTGCTGACGTGGCAAACAGAAGTGCTTTGTCAGCCTAACAGAAATGCCATGTCACCCGCCACATCATCAAAACTTGTCATAAACTTGTCATGTCAAATTCTCCCAACCCAACCCTTAAACCATCTCGACCTATAAAGCGAACCCAGCACAAAAGATCAACACCACCATTCACTTCCGCCCATTCCCTCTTTCTACCATCTACCCATTCTCTCTTTTGTTCTTCATTCGAGAAGCAATGAAATCGCCAACAAAAAAAATTGACTCGCTCTCTCTTCTATTCTTCATCTGAAAACAGAGGAATCACAACCAATTCCCACTTTCTACCCACTCTCTCTTCTATCCTCCGAGCAGTCCAGAAAAATTACACCAACAAGAAAATAAACAGAATCACCACCAATCGCCACAAACCCAGAAAAGAATCGGTATAAAATGACCGGCATATCTAGTATATTTGCGTCAACGAGCTCGGGAAGAATCGGTTCAAACCGACCCCTTTGAAGCCAAGAAAACCTCGGCGTTCAGCAGCTCCTACCTGCAGAAATACCCAGAAATCTCCCAATCAACTTGTTTGAGAAGGTGAAGAACACTCGAACCTGCTAAATTGTTGATCTAATTTCTTTCCCAGTTTCCATTACCCATAAAAATCTTGATCTTTATTTGTGGTTGCCATCCCCAAAATTTCTAGATCCACAATCCCTCTCTTCCTTATTTCATCCGTTCGTACCAACCAAAAACCCCAAAATCAAAATCAAATTTTCCATCTCCCAACAACACTCCCGAAAACCTAAAACCACTAAGATGCAACAATTGACTACCATTTATGTTGCTAATCGTTCTGAACCCAGAACCTCAATTTTGACTTCCCTTTTCTCTTGGATTGTTGTGATGTTGATGCACCCTTGGGAGATCCGGCCACAACGAACCCGCAAGAGGAGAAGACCTCAAAGTTTGGGAGGTAATTGTCAACGAGAAGCTGGAACGAGAGTCAGCAGGAGTCGGCGGAGATGGGTGGCGGGAGGAAGCTGCCGATTCGGTGAAGGTAGTCGGAGTGGCGGAGATGGAGGGAGGAGGGAGGTCATGGCGTTGGAGAACTATGAAGTTGTGAAAGAATCACCGGAGATGTAATTAGAGTCCGTTGGGGTTGAGAAGGGTTGGGTCGCGGTTGGAAGGGTTGTGTACTTGGGGTTACGGGTTGTTTGGAAAAACTTACGTGGCCGGTTTTTTTTTTTTTTGTTAAAGTTAGTGTTGGGCCATAGCTGAGCAGTATAGGGCTTGGAAGCCCAGAAGGGTAAGGCCCGTTCAAAGGGCCCAAGAAGACGTCTGGGGGAACGTAACACATAAGAAACAGAGAAAGGAAGGCGGCCATACTAGGACATGACAGGTACTAGGACGCCTGACTCAAAGAGCCGTTAGGGGCAGAATGGGAGATCTTCCTAGGATACTCACCTCGAATACTGCAGGACTAAGCATTAATTGCCGCCGTAGGCGGTCTAAATAAAGTAAGACAAGATATAGGGCGCCTGACATGGTCATTAATGCTCGAAGCCCAGCCCAAACCACTATAAATACATTCATATCTGCATTGATGGTAAACCAACTACTCTCTCTCTCTCTAAACATTACTACAAAATTCTCTCTCTCTAACTTGAGCTTTGGAGGGTGTCCTGGGTGATCACCCAAGGACCCTTGTTTTGTAGGAGCTTGGAGTCCCCCATCATCCGGATCAGACGCCTTGCTAGTTCCGCAAACCCGCCTAGAACATTCTAGGCTCAAACAATTTGGCGCCCACCGTGGGGCTAGCATTGCACTGAAGAAAAGATGGATGGGAGCTCCAATACTCCCGTCAAAGGCGTAGTGGAAAGAAGTCCCCTTCGCGCACCAGACGCACCAGCGAGCGGAATGCGAGGAATGGAGATGCCAACCGTGGAAGAAGAAATGGAAATGGAGGACCGCGTAAAGAGCCAAGGACAGCAAATATCGAGCATGCAAGAAAGCTTGATCCAAATTTTGGCGATGCTCAAGGAGAAGGAAAGTGACGCCCCCGAGAGCTCAGGAAGGAAGGCGGTCAAAGGGAAGAGGAAGGAAGGCGGTCCTAGCAGCCCAGTCTCAACAGAAGGCGGGGAGTCAGAGAAAGAAGAGGGCGACCTTAACTTGGGATTCCTCGAAGAGCATCTTAAGCCCTCATACGGGAAGGTGAAGGGCCCCAACATCCTGCAGAATCCACTAGCCAGGAGTTTGTTCAGGACCCAGGTCCCCCCTAACTTCTCGTCACTGGGGCTCCCAACGTACGATGGGAGCTCAGATCCCGCCGATCATTTGAGTGCGTTCATGCTCAAAATGCAACTCATCAACGCCACAGACGCTGATCTGTGTAAGGCGTTCCCCGTCACGTTCAGCGGTCACTGCCGAACCTGGTACACCTCCCTCCCAGAAGGGATAATAGAGGATTTTGAGCAGTTCGCGACTCTGTTCTCTTCGAAGTTCGCGTCGCAGAGAAGGAGGAAGCTAACGGTCTCGTCACTCATCAATTGCAAGCAAGGAAGGGAGGAGTTGCTTACAGACTTCTACGATAGGTGGAACACGATAGCCTGCGAGGTACAGGGGATCTCGCCAAGTGTAGCGGCGGGAAACCTACGCATGTCGACGCATAGCCGCGAGCTACGAAGGGCGCTCATTAAAAAAGAGCACTCGCTGAAAGAATGGACCGATCTGGACCACCTTGTAAGGAAGGCGATCCTGTTAGAAGAAGCCATGGCAATTGAAGAAACTGCCAAGCACCCCAACCCGAGAGAGAGAACAGAAAGGAAGAGAGGATCGCCAAAGAGAAGAGGGCGTTCTTCGGAAAGGAGAGGGTATAAGCCGCGGTTCACGCAACGAGACAACAGGAAAGAAGTGTACACCACAAGTCAAGACGGAGGTCGAGATAGGCAAAATGACAACAGTGCGCGCCAGACGCACAGGAGAGAAGATGACCGAAAATGGTGCGACTGGCACCAAATGCCCACACATGACACCACGGAGTGTCGGGAATTCAAAGCCAGCCTCAAATACTTAGCACCCGGGGATCTCAGGAGCCGCTTAGATACGAGACCGCAGAAGGAGGAGCAAAGACACCACAGAAATAGGTCACCAAGTCCGAGGAGGAGATCTCGCACGCCGAAGCGGCATAGGTCGAGGTCGCAGAGAAGGGAACGCTCGCCTAGGCATGATCGCCTACCGCCACCACCAAGAAGGTCTCCTCCACGTCGACAACCGCGTGTTAATGAGGACGACGTTGAGGTAATTACCATTGCGGGCGGCCGGAAGAGGCCCAGAAGCGAAGGGGAGCGCCTAATCCAATGCCTGAACGTTCACAAGAGCGAGCAGGTGGATATCAGCTTCTCACCTGATGAGCTGGCCCCTGAAGAGAGCGCGGAGGACCCGCTGGTCATCTCCCTACGAACAAGAAAGTTCAAGATCACCAGGGCGCTAGTGGACAACGGTAGTTCGGCGGACATACTGTTCTATTCTACGCTCAAAAGCATGAAGATGAGCGTTCAAGATCTCAAACCTTCTTCCACCAGCCTCGTAGGATTTTCAGGGTCCAAAAATCAGAGTGCTAGGCCTGATCACATTACAGGTAACAATCGGAGAGGGGAGCATAACGAAGACCCGGTCCATGGATTTTCACGTAGCAGACTGCCCATCAGCATACAATGCAATCCTGGGGCGTGGTTTCTTGTCACTATTCTCAGCGGTCCCATCCACATGCCACCAAACGCTCAAGTTCCCAGTAGGAGGACGCATTGGGCAAGCCAGAGGAAACACTGAACAAGCGAAAGAATGCTATCAGGCAACCATAGAGAGTTTGGAGGTAGACTTAGTGGACACCAGAGGCGGTCACCCTCGTCCAGAGGCGGTGGAAGGAGATGCTGAGGTAGTTCTGGACAGCGAAGAGCCAGCAAAAAAGGTGAGGATTTCTTCTCATCTCGCGGAAGGAAAGGCAAGGGAGCTCCTAGTGCTCCTCAAAGAATTCAAAGACTTGTTTGCGTGGACGTCCGAAGACATGCCGGGCGTATCAAGAGAGCTCGCCGAGCATCGTCTGTCAGTGAAAGGTAAGGCGAAGCCAGTGCAACAGCGCAGAAGAAACGCATCTCTAGAGAAGCAAATGGCGTTGGAAGAAGAAGTTAAGCGGTTGCTTAAAGCCGGCTTTATAAGGGAGGTCAAATACCCAACTTGGATGTCGAACCCAGTCTTTGTTCGAAAAGCCTCCAGCCTCTGGCGAATGTGCATCGATATCACAAATCTAAATGCAGCCTGTCCAAAAGACGCTTACCCTCTTCCGAGAATCGACCAGCTCATTGATGCAACCGCCAACCATGAAAGCTTGAGTTTCCTCGATATGTTCTCAGGATACCACCAGATCCGCTTATCTGAGGAAGATCAGGAGAAGACCGCGTTTATGACGCACATGGGAAACTTCTGCTACACGGTCATGCCGTTTGACCTAAAAAATGCTGGGGCAACATACCAAAGGATGATAGATGCAGTTTTCAAAAGCCAACTTGGCCGAAACGTGGAAGCATATGTAGATGATGTTCTAGTCAAAAGCAAGGAAGAAGGGAACCACCTGAAAGACTTGAGGGAGACTTTCGAGAACTTGAGAAAAGAAGGTCTGCGGCTGAACCCCCTCAAATGCGTGTTTGGCGCCAAAGCAGGAAAGTTCCTTGGTTTCATGATAACCAGGAGAGGGATCGAGGCTAACCCAAAGCAGATAGAAGCCATCACGAGTTTGAGGCCGCCCCGGACAGTCAAGGAGATTCAGGCATTCAATGGAAAAATGGCCGCTCTGAGTCGCTTCATTCCAAGATCTGCAGACAAATGTTCACCCTTTTTCCAGATGCTCAAAAAGTCAGCGTCCCGTTCACAATGGAGCGCGGAGTGTGATAAAGCGTTCTTTCAGCTAACGGAACAGCTCACCTCTCCACCCGTGCTAAGCGCCCCGAAACAAGGGGAGCCGTTGT